AGGAAGAGAAGGGTGAAGGGCTTTTCAGGTGATTTGTAAGAGCTTTGAATTAACGCAATGGGGAAGGAGGAGGGAAGGGAAGAGAATAATATGAAAGGAAGGGATTTTGTAACTTTGACCATGAAAGTACTCTTGCTGTAAACTACTTGCAGGTTTTTGCATTTGAGTTGAGAAGCTGGACTGTGAGGGCATGGAAAATAACTTGGGTAGAGGAGTAGAGCTTACCTGGGAGGGAGTCTGCCAGTTTAGAGTCACATTTTCCAGAACTTCAGTTGTTCTTTTAGCATTTTTTGAAAATCTTTCCAGTTTTGCTGTTGGACATACTAAGATTAATTCCATGTTTCTGAAACCTGCTATATATCCCTTATGTTTTCCATGTGTTCTACAAAGTTGCCATTATACACAAGGATGTAATTTGTATATGGGCACAGTACATACTTTAACCATAAATTCTGCAATATTTATTTCTACTACTCTTGGAATAGAGCAAATACATTGATTAAGACTATACGGTTCTAAGCCACTTTAAACCACTAAGACATACCATATATAGTGAGTAGCTGTGTTGATCCATTGAACCTTGATTTAATATAAAGTGTCTAACTCATCCAGAGTATTTTAAGTCCAAGAAATAAATTATCTTTCTCATGTGGGTTTTCTCATAAATTTCCTCAAATCTATGCATAGTCCTGTGTAGCACTCCCTCTTTGGACCACTTATTTATGATGTGAAAGAGACTGTTTTCAATTTTGTACTCCACTTCTACTGAAGAGATCTTTTAAATATACTTTTACCTCTTTATCTGAGAACAGAAATAGAATGTTTTGGGCAGATTTCTTGTTACATGATTTGAGAGGCATCTGTAGATAAGTAAATCCAGTTCATTTCTGATTTCATTTCCTGCAAATGTTTGGGCTCCTGTTTCAGCAACCTGCCTCTGTACATCTAAGTGACTTTAGTTTATTTGGCTTTACCAAAAGTATTTCTCATTTGGATCTCTCAGACTTTCTACCTGTGTGCCTGACTCGTTGTAGTATCTCCATTTGTATCAGCAGAGTCTCTCACCGGAGTTAAGTGTCACTTTCATGAATGAAGGACTATGAAACAGACAATGTAGCTGGTGACTGAATTTTTGTAGACCTATGTGTTAGGAAAATGAGGAGATAACCATGTGTGTACCTAATGAAAACCCAGCTTCAGTCTTCATAGAGAATTTAAAAGATTGGAATTGGTGACTTCAAGCTCTGCTTGGGGTTTAAATGTCGAATATCACATACCTTTCTGAAGGCAGAACATTGTTTTCATCTCTTAGCTTTTGGTTTTTCTCGCATACAATAACGTGGGTTCTTCTCAACTTGGATAGGGAAGATGGAAAAAATTTATTGTAGACTGCTGGTGGGAGGTGTTCCTAACTAGTCAGTGGTAGTGATTGCTTGTTCATCGATACATTGTTGAAAAGCAGAGAATTGATTGAGGAAAGAATGAAGTTTGTTGCAATATAGATCTTTTTGATTGGTTCATATCTAACCAGGCAGTTGATTCTGGGATACTGTGCAAGAATCAGTGGGCCAGAGAGTGAGCAAATGAGAGGAAGCTTGCTCACTTGCTCTGTTTTTCGAAAACAGTTATCTGGAAAGGTGGAATGCCCAGTCTTAAGGACACCATTGTGCCTTCTTGTATTAATCTTTTGATTTAAAACAAAGCTAAGAATAATTCTGAGGTCATGAAATGTAATATAGGATATTTCCAGCTGTCTGTCCTAAATTTTTGGGCTATAAGTTTATGGTATGTTTTGTATCTTCTTGGACATAATGAAGGAGATTTCATTCTTTTACTTTCTAGGCAATTTCTCTAATAATTTGCTGTGAAGATGAGCGCAGTTACTGCTACTTCTGAGTATCTTTTAAAAGAGGGGGAATTGCCTGCTTTTTTTAAAATTATTATTATTTTTTTCCCTAGATGACTTTATTGTGTCTTCTATTTCACCACAGGATTCTGGATTTCAGTTAAGATGCACGTATCAGTTCTGACTGAGATATTTAGACTATAGAGTAATGACAGTTGAGCCACAAATGTCGCCAGGCATTTTACATTCTGTGTTCATGGTTAGCCTCAGCTTGATGGGCAGGCTTTGGAGCACCATTCTGAGTTTCTTGGTAGTCTGATTTTACAGTAAACTCTTGCTGATATGAAGTTGGGATGGTGGTTGGTGGTGGTTTTGTTTTTGTTTTCCCAGGAAAAATGATTCTCAGTTCTATTTCAGTTTTAAAATGTCTTTAAAATATCTTCCTTTGGTAGGAGGCACAGATTTTTAACTGCACAGAGGAGTTGGTATACAGTGTATGGTATTTCTAGTGCTAGTGCATAAACAAAGAGTTGTAGGAGTGCACATCTAGAGGAGGTACAAGGCAGGAACACCTCTTTGGGAGTACCAGAAGTCCTGGCTTGACTTGGACCAGTCATGATGCGTCATGATGACTCTTCCCAATACACTGCATAGGATAATAGTGCATAAATATGGCTTTGAATTCCAGATAGGATTTTTCCTCTGGTAGCAATTGGTTGTCTAAGTATGGGGTCAGGAGGCTAAGTGGAATTTTCAAAGTGATCAAAACCATATGTCTTAGTGATGATTCTTTTTTTTTTTTTTTGAATGTGAAATGGTAGAAAAATAAAGCCCTATTCTTGTAATTCATCTTTTCTAATGGAAGTCTAATATTCCAGAAGATAAATTTGGTATTTAAACCCTTTAAGTAGATTTGTGTACATTAAGTACCATTTGCGCTACATTTTAAGTAGCAAAACCTCTTTCCTTATTAGTTCTGTGCCATTATTCTCATAATCTTATGTTTCTTGTAGCTGAAACCATTTCTCTGAAATATCTGAAAGCTTCTTAGTTGGAAAAGCCATTGAAGAAACAAATGCAGAATATCTGCTGTAGCTATTAGAAGGGAAGTAAAATGTACATGTGGAATGAACTAGTAGCAGTGAAGTTTTTGCTTAAATATAAAAGAAGGTATTTTAAATGTCTCTTATCTAGAAATAGGGTTTACGGTATGTCAGGAGAAAATAATTCATTAACAATGTTAGTGTTCACAAATAGTATGGGATCAAATATATAATGTTTTGGTAATTGGGACTTTAATATAAAAAACATCAACATGAATCTTAGTTCTTGCTGCTTTGTCCATGAGCAACAGGTCCTTCTTGTCTGTCCCTGTCACTTTGCCCAGAAGGTTGTACCTCCTTAGGACTAACTGACAAGCTGTGGCATATCTGTTTTCATGGGGCCCTTCCCAGGGGGGCACATAGCGTTCTCAGTGCACTCCATCTGCTGTCCTCTACAAACCACATGCCCTGGAAACACTGGGTGTGAGAAGGCTGAACTGAACATGTAAAGGATCCAGCACGAATCACAGAATTGCAGGGGTTGGAAGCCATATCTGGAGATCACCTAGTCCAAACCCCTGCCAAAGCAGGTTCACCTAGAGCAGGTTGGACAGGAGCATATCCAGGTGGGTTTTTAATATCTCCAGAGAAGGAGACTCCCCAACTTGAAATTTACTTGCAAAGAATTTAAATAAAACTTGAGGGAGAGGGGGAAATATGTTTCTGGGTGTTAGATTTAAACAGTCTTGAAACGAAAATACTATTTACCTGGGTGGCTTTTTCATTCTGCAACCAAGGTGATGCAGAAAGATCAAACCACCGTGGGTTTACAATAGCTGGATGATTTGTATGCCGTGTTTCAGGCAAGGTTACAGGTAGTCTGGCACATGCTTGAAGCATAACAGAATTTAAACATAGAAAAACCAATAACTGCTAGAAGGATCCTGAATTCAAGGGGATATTATAATTCCTGTACAATACCCTGGACACTAATGTAGCCTGCAGCAGGTTTTACAAGGCTCTTTGTAGGTTGCTTGAGGAAAAAACCCCAAACTATTCTCACTTCTCATATATCTTGCTCTGCCACTCTCTTTTTCAAGATTGACATGAACACTTACTCTCTTAAACTACATTATGTAGATTATCACTATTCTCTTATTGGTCAACATGCCCCACTAATAGGGCAAAACAATTAACAGGATGCAGGGCACCTGCTTATTCTAGGTACTTAATTGGCTGAAGTAAGGAAATTCCCCAAAAGCCTGGAAATAATGTGATGAGGTTCTTACATGGTTTTTTCCTCCTCATAGTCTCCTGAAATAAGGCACTTAAGCTCTAGGAAACTATGAATTTGGTTAGAAGTGCAGAGAGGAGGAAGAAGAGATTCTGTTTCAGGATTTCATAATTGAATGGGTTATGGGGAAGGGATGAGGTGGGGTAAAAGGAGCTTAATTTGTGTTCATTTTCTTTGTGTACGTGCCGGTGCTTTTGTTAGTAATCAAGTTCCTTTGGTTCCCATTGCATAATTACCCATGTGTGTCTGCTGTAGGGGGGAGGGTGGGAATTGGGGAGAAAACTCATTAATGAAATTGTTGACTTTGAATTCCTGGAACTTGTTTCAAAGTCTTTAAAAGGAATACCAAGTTAACACTGTTTCTAATCTATGGGCAAAATGCAATTTTAGAAGAAAAACATAAGTTATGTAAAGGACAGAAGGCAACAAATCAGTCTAGAATTTGGACAACACAAATCCAAGGCTTTGATGTCCCCTCTCCACAGTTCCCAGCTGGTCCTGCTCGACTATACTTAGATACTCTTTACTTTTGTGACCTCCTCTGTTTCATTAATTCCATATAATGATTACCTATGATACATTGTTAATACTCAGGCTATGAGTTATTCTGGTTGGACAAGTCTCTGAAAGCAAACTTCCCTTTGTCTTACCTTCAAGCTTCCATCTCCAGCTTCCCCGAAGTTTCCTCTGTCTCATGTGTAAACTTATTTCCATTAATTTCAGAATATTATCATAAATAGTTTATTATTTTAATGAAAACTAATTTTATATCAGTATTTTTAGTGGAAAATAAATTAATTACTTCTCTTACTTTCAGATGGGCACCTTTAAAGCAAACGATGGTGAATATTTTTTAGAACCTCTGATGAAAGCGGATGGCGGTGAACATGAAGATGAGCATAACAAACCACATCTTATATACAGGCATGAAGAGCTTAAAAAAAAGTTTCAGAAATCCCATAAACCTTGTGAAGTTTCAGGTATAGTCATATTTTAAATTTCAATGTCACTTTTTCAAATGTGAGGTGTTTAAAAAAGAAAAGGCAAGATTTAATTTTTGTAAATGTTATTAATCTTCAGGTTGTTCCTTTAGAACCTACACATTTCTATCATGTAGACTTGACAGCCTTTTTTTTTCTGGCAGTGGCTAATACAAATGTAGGACAAAATGTACATTAAAAAAACCAAACAAAAATAAAATGCATGATACTGCAAGAACTTCTCTGTTGGTTTACTTTTATGCCTAAGTTGTCCATGCATAAACATTTAAGAGTAGATACACAGGAGTTGTTTCTGCTTTTTGCAAAAGATAATGAATGTATCACAAGTATAACAGATAATTCAGGATATCTGTCTTCCTTGATACTGGAAGTGCCTAATATTGCCCATTAATGTGGATTTTTCTCCTTATAAATATTTTAATAACGTATTCATAGTATTTCATTTTATTTCAAATATAGTGGAGTAATTTGCAAGCATTCTATTAGGATATGTGACAAGTGAATGGTTGTACTTTCATAGCTTCACAGTATGTGATAAAGCAAAGTAACTTGAAAGAGAATGCATGCAGTGAAAGTGACTATGAAAGACAAAACCACTTTATTTAATACCATAAAGAAGTGAGGAGGAAGCACTGTGCTTTAAACTAATATGTTCCTTTGCGGGGCAGAAAACTTCTAGTAGTTGTTTTTCTAGTTACACATGCATTTTCATAGTCAGAAAATAGTACGAGAGAAAGGCACCTGCAGCTACTGTCAAAGTACAAAAACTAGACAGAAGAGCGGGATTAGAAAGGATTTATTTAAAATTGTAGGTGTCCATAGACTCATTCTAAACACTGAGATACCATCTGCTTTGGGATATAATGATGTAGAAGCCTTTGAAGATCCTGCCTGAGCAATGTGTTTCTGAACCCTTACTATTCTATTAGTACCATTTAAAAAATATTTTTTATTGTGTTAGAAGCATAATTTTTTTAAGCCTAATGACATAATAAATGCTTTTCTTTTGCTTTTGACAGACACATAGGGAGTTCTTTTATTTGGTTTTAAAGAAAACACAAATGGGTGGAGATTCACAACAGGGGAAAGCAGCTTACATTTGGTTCAGCTTGGCATTTAGAAACATCCTGTCTAATTAAGATTCTACACCTTTCATGAGACTGAAAACAGCATTTTATGCATTTTGAATGTACTTGTACTTCAGGAATGTTTAAGCAAGGCTGAGTGCATAAACAAAGCTGTCTGAAGAAAAGGAAAATAATAAAATTTATACCTTTTTTTTAAATGGAATATCTGCCTGGATGTTTGAAAATATAATTGGAAAAATAATGGTGTATCTTGGGTGGCTAGTGTTTTTAATTTTGGAAAATTTTTGAAGCATATTTTATACTCAGAAACAACATTTTGGGAATCCTGCTTTTCCATAGATACCAAGTTCAGAAAGCAACCACTATGATCATCTTGCATTTAACAAATTCTAGTCAAAGGTACTTATTTTCTGTAGCTTTTTTTAGGGAAGCTGGTGCTGTCTCTTAATTGATTGTCATTGCAGAACAAGAAGTTAGTACTTTGTTTGAAAATCAAGTGAGTGTTGTTATTCCTAATTCTTTTTTTTAAATGATGAATAATACATGCTGAACCGAAGTAGAGGTCTTTCAGTTTATATGGTTTGTTTGTTTGGGGTTTTTTGTGTGGTTTTTTTGTTCTTTTTTTCCTGTCTTGCATATGAGAATTCTATTAATATAAGCAACCTAGTGTAAGGAAAGAGGCTCCAAGAATTAAGAGCTTGGTCATTCTCCCCCTTTTCGTTTATTGGAGAAACTACAAAAGATTGTGAACTAGAGATTAGTCATTTTTCGGGGACTCAAGTTGCATAAATTTTCATGGAGAAAAACCTTGTGTTATATTTCTGCCTTCTAAAGAGATTTGTCTCCTTTTAATGCTAGTCTTGCCTAGTTGTTCACATCTTCCCTTCTAGGAGGAACAGAGTATATGTAGCAATATTGTGACCATGAGAGTTTCTCTAGTAAGGGAATCTTGACAGAGGATATGAAGAGGCACAGCATTTTGTACATCTGTTTAGTTTGAAATTGAACCATGATAATTACTTCTAAAATTCTTTCCTTATTTTGTACTGGTTTCTTCTAAATTAACTTGCTAATGAAGAATTAATTGGAAACCCTGGTACAAGCCTTACTCAAGTCAGAATAGGACACCTGCTGCATTTCCTCTATCCATAAATCCTATTTCTTTATACAGGGGAGCTCATCTCAGTTTGCCATAATATGCTTTTGATAAATATGATAGTTAATACTGATCCACTTGTTGATTTCAGCCAGTTCTCTTCAGTGCATCAAACTCATTCAATCTGAACACATCTAATATACGTAGGCACTCACGAACAAGTTGGTTTACAAAGCCAGTCCCCAAATTTTTCCCTCGTTATTGTTAGTGCTAATAGCTTCTGCAATTATTATAGCTATATTTTGTGATTGACTCTTAGATAATTGCTCAGCAAACTTTAAGGTGCTTGCTGTTGTCCCTCTACAGTTTTCTTGCTGTACTGTGCCCTAACTTTAAAGAGGACAGACTACCCACCTGTCAAAAGTAGCTTAAAGCTGATGGAGAAAGGCTCTTCCCTTGAAATTTGGATTGCATGGATTTAAAGCCTCCCAAGTTGAAGGTGACAGAGTTGGGATCTCTTAATTCCTGAGTCAGTGCTGCAGGCACCAAGTCATTGGAATAAAAGGATCAGGGGACATATCCTTTGGTAGCTACTTCGTAAGAGGAAATCTAGCTTCCAGGAAGACAGTGGAGGTTTGTTCTGAGGGGGCTGAGGTGTCTAATTCTGAAGAACTCAGTGAGAATTCAGTTATGCTCTCAGTTAAGTATTTCCATGTGGGCTATTGATAATCTGACTTGCTGATTAATGCATGGACTTTATGTATCAGGCATCAGAAGTCTCTGGTGGCTGGACTATACACCATAATTGGAAGTATTACAGTACTTAAGTACTTAGTTTGGAGGTATTTGGGTAGGTTCTATATTTCCTTTAGAACTTGATCCTGTGTGATGAATATTAACAAAGCTGTCAAGGAAGTCACTGAAGGCTTTTGATGCATACTTGCTTATGAAGTGAGTTCCATATTTATATAAATATAACCTTATATAAGTGGAAAAAGTCAAGGGATTTGAGGACTAGTCTCCGTTATGGTTTCTTTTGATTGGTTCTGTTGTTGTCAAAGTTTTTTTTGTGTAACAAAAGAAAGTATTTTGTTTAATTAATAACTCTGTTGCACTGTTTAAACTGTAGTGCTTATCTCCTTCCATCCTGTCTGTTTGGATTTTACTGCATTCTAGGAACAGTGAAATACTGCTGTCTCATAAGTAATTTTTAACAATGAATCCATATATGATAGAACTATATGATAATATACAAGGTGTCTAATTTGATGTTCCTGTTACAGCCTTCCACGTTTAATGTATTTTTTATAGTTCTTGCACTGGAAGAATTTTCTTGGAAATAAGATCATAAATAGAAGTTTGCTTTGTCTATTTTGGGCAGCCTTTTGCCCGCTCCTCTCTTTAAATTTAGAAACTGCATTCAACACTAAATCTTCTTTTACTTTACAGAAAAAGAGTTGAAGAAGAGCACTTTACTACATCCAACCTTCAGCAGCTTAACTGAAGAGAGTAATGTGTTACAGAAGTCTCTCAGTTTAAAATATGCTTTAAATAACCTATCTATAGAGGATGGTGGCAACCCACATTCCAGGAAAAAACGTTTTCTTTCCTATCCAAGATATGTAGAAGTGATGGTTACAGCTGATACCAAAATGGTTCGTCACCATGGGCAGAATTTACAGCACTACGTACTAACACTGATGTCAATAGTAAGTAAACTTAAGTTCATAAGTATTAGCATTTTCTGTTACTCTTCTGCAAGTTCCCAGTCTTCTGGTTTGATTGAATTTGATACAGAATATTAAAAGAAGGAGATTCCATGAAAAACGAGGGGCCAAAACTTCAGATGATGGAAGCTTTTAGTTTAATGCAGTAAGGTGTGTAGGTGCAATGCTGTGACCTGTTTCCTGATTTGCTGTTGCATTAGGAGAATTCTTAAGCTTCAGTGAGTGAAACATATGGATTAACTACAGCAGACAGAGGTTAAAAGGCATTCTGAAAAAAATGCTTGGTTATAGTAATCCTGTTTTTTCAAGTAATTTCAAATGAATATGGGTCAGACTTTGAGTTGGCACCATTTAGTTGAGCTCTTTCTTTGGTGAATTTTTTCTTGAACCAAAAGTTGCTTCTTGTATTGATTCAGGATTTGGTGCAATAAACTATAAAATCAAAAGGTTTACCTATAGGAAAGGGTGTGCTAAAATATTCTGCATAGTAATTTTTTCTAGATTTCTATCCTTCCATCTATTCAAGAAGCTTAGCCTATATGAAACTGCGTCTAACTTCGGGCTTGCAAATTAAGACATCTGCATATAGGTATCTATGGAGATATCTGCTTTAAATAACAGAGCTATTCACTTGACCAGTTATAGACATCTACTTCTGGATGAACAGAAGAGCTCTCTAGTTTCCACTGGGGTCAATCAATTTGCTTCATAGAAATGTCTAGTGCCATTTAAGATGCCATAGGACATCTGACTTGGCCTCAGCTGCTGCTTCACAAAGGTGTGCAAGTTTCCTGTAGATCATGTGTCTTATTTGCCAGTTTTGTGTAGGTGTCTGATAACCTGTAACATTTGAAGTGACACCAGATAATGTACATTTAGGCAACTGAACTCAGTTCTGATCACTGTAATGTCTAGATCTCCAGCTGATGGCAGTAGAGGTGCTGTCACCTATTACACAGATGTAGGCACCTAAATTTAGAAGATGGCATTTTCTCCAATTTATTTATAAGAAAAATAATGAAATTTTAAGGGAGATTAGCATACTTTAATTTCATAAAGCCTTCTGAATTTTTCTCTTGGCAGTGGTGTGAAGGTTTGAAAGTTCATGTATTAACAAAAAAATCAGCATTGAAGGGTCGATTTTTTTTCTTTAGCTTATAGTACAGACTCAATTTGGAATTTTTAGAAACAACTCATCCAAAGAAGCCATTTTTTATAAAATTACTTTTTTTTAATACAGAACTGTACTAAGAACCAAAATGAAGGGATAAAAAACATTATTTTAAAATGGAAGCTGTTTTTCACAGTACTTTAAGATGAAATGGCACATCTATTGTATAATTTTCATTAAACACTGTTGTGATTATAGATAATGTAATTCCTGATATTTCTTTTTAGAAAAATATTGTTCCTGCATCTGTAGATGTTGTACATTCGACCACTATTCCTTAACAGTGCGATGTTTCTTGTAATTGGACTTCTACTAGGGAAAGAAGATATGCATCGTATCATTGCTGCTAAAGAGAGTCTAGATGAACTGTTTTTAAGATCTAGAATTTAACATATACATGTATTAGTGAAAGAATACCAGTTCTTTTCTAAAAAGTTTGTGATTTTATTCTTGTGCTTACCTATCTATACTGTAAAACTAGGGCTTAAAGCAGTTATTGCCGGCTTTGCAGTAATGGCACACAATAAAACACTACGTCTTTAATGTGAATTTAATATCTTTATCTACAGTGGTATTCAGTAATGTGTATAGATGGCACTTTCTGGCAGTTCTGAAGGTAATCTTGAAATAAAAGTTTAAGACTCTATTTATAGAAATGTTTAGCATTTATAAATGCAGAATCTTTAAAAAAAATCTAAAAATCAGATCTTAATTCTGAAAAGTTTTCTTCGCATTCCAGTTAACTTCCTCCCCAACCCTCCAACAGTATATATCCTATCTCCTTGAAGGATTTCAGAGATGTCATAGAATCACAGAATAATTAAAGTTGTAAGGGACCTTTGGAAGTCATCTGGTCCAACCCTCTACTCATATATATATATATATTGCTTTGTCAGATATTGCATATGACAGTACAGTCTTCATTCTCTTTTCTCTTCCTTCTCCTTCCCCATAATAGTTATTTTTCAGTAACCTAGCAATAAATGTGAAGAGTAGAAAACCAACTGACTACCACTCCTTGCTATGTAATCTCTATTAGAATTCATCAGTGTGCGGGTGGGTCATTTCTTGACCCATAGCTTATTAGTGTTTGAAATAGAACCATTATTAGTCTTATTTCATTACCCATAAAGGGAAGAAATGAAACTATTAAATTTTATCCTTTCTGCCATTATACAGATAGCTTTGATTATTAAATTTAACTGGTAACTTGTGTCTGGTCATGCAACTTCTCCTGTTACAGGAAATTGTCAGGTTGCTGGCATTTTAAATGAATCAAGCATTATACTCTACTCTTACAATCATTCTGAAACTTTTAAAGATATTCATTTTTGGCTTGGATTTTAAAGAAACTTAAAAAGTTAAAGCATATAAATCCCATTAAATTTTAATGAAACTTAGACATCTAGCTCCCAGAAGAACCTTTGAAATCCTGGCCCATTTTTCTTTTATTTTCTTCCTTTTTTTTTTTAAGCATCAACAAAGTCACCAAAGTAAACGTGCTCCTGTAGGGTATGGTTTTACGAGTGGAAAATAAGAACTGAAATATACTGCTAGATATTTTTGAGATTTTAAGTGTCTTGTCACTCATCCAATTCCACCCGAAAAGGCTTAACTCTCAGCATGCAAGTAATCCCACTGAACTGGAACTGGAGTGCATTTTCTCATTTCTTTAAAATTGCATAAATCTTGGCAAGATGAGTATTCACAGTATTTACACTATGTCTTGGAAATACTAGTTCTGATTGAAATATGTATTTAAAAGTTCAAGGAGTACCTTTGCCATAAGACTATATTGAATTTCAATGCAAAAGTTTTAATAAAGAGTGGCATTATTTAATGTGAAATGATAAATAAAATAAAGAAATCTGTGATTGCATAACTTGCGATGTTTGTTCCTGTTCCTCCAAGTGTTGCACCAGCAGAGCAGGCAGCAGGTGCTGCCTTAACAGATTTAGTAGCTGGAGGACTCAGTCTCAGGCACATCATGTTGGGACGGTTTGAAGTCCCTACACCTGAGTAACAGGTCTTAGTAGCAAAAAAATGTTTCTAATTGCAGTCTTTTTTTATCCTTTTTGTGTTTTTTTTTTTTTTTTTTGTGGTGCCATTCTGACAGCTAATCATCAGCTTTGATCATGAAGTCATGAAATATTTCTGCGTGCAAAGATCACATGCACCAGTGTGCTGCCCCCTAATGATCTGACTAGTACTTGTCTCTGAGATTCTTCTCTGTAGTACAGGATTCACAGTCACTCCCTACTGTTTAATTAAACAAAGGCCTTGCTCTAAGCTACCTGTGACTTGTCTTATGTACAAGGAGGAGGTGTTTTGCCAAGCAACACTCATACATCTTTCTCTCAGTAGCTTCTAAGAGCTTATAGATGTTCTTTGTGAAAATCAGTTACTGGAAGGAAGGATGGCTTGATGTCTAAGTTGTACATGATGCCATTTGTTATGATCAGATTATAGCATTGGTGCATATTTTCATCAAAAGGCTGTAGATGATGATGACTAAGTTACCATTTACTGAGTTATTGCAATATTAAAGGGATATCTTTGCAACCGTCCCAGTTTCAAGTTAGAGATAAGACAGAGCAGAGGCAAGGTGACTGAGCCTTTAAAAGGCATGTAGTCTTTCCTTTTACCTCCACTAAAACACAACAGGGAGTCATCTGGAACCGCTGTTTGCTTAACTTGGGAGATAGTAGGTTGGAGAGGACTTGGATAAGGTGCCAGGAGATGACCTAAAACTCATTGGTGGGGGAAAAATGTAACTCTGAGGTATGTAGGTATACTTGTGCAAGTTTGCTTGAGAAATTTCTGCTGGCATTAAGTTCAACCAGGGAAAGCATGGCTTTGTACAGAAATATGGATGAAACAGAATAGGAGTAACACCAGCAGATATAACACAGCTCTTTCTCATTCTCTCAGTGAAGTAATAAATCTGTGGTGACTTCTTTTTTCTCATGAGTTCAGACAATTCTGGGGTCTTATGAAATATATGACAGAATCAGGATATGACAATGGAAGAGGTGAAGGAGAAATCTCCCAGATCCTAGATATCTTGCATCCTTTCAACACTACAGTGATAAAGAAGAGATTGTTGGAGCCTGCAAAATGCATGTGAGCTAAGAAGTGGTATCATGTTTCTTTCAAGAGATATGAATGTTTGTATTCTGCTGGTACCATTGTTCTGTTAAAGATAGGAGGAAAGAAAAAGAGGTCTTGTGATACAAGATCTAGGAAAAAAGGAGCTGAAGAAGTCCATTTCAATTTGGATTCCAGCCTCTATTCATGCTTGTTTGTTTACTAGCCCCTGTTCAAAATGGTGATTTTGCCACAATTCACAGCCCCAGTTTAATGGACAGCTGCAATAGGGATATCAAGAGAAGCTAAACTTTGTTGTGACCAAGTTGCTTCCAGTCAGCTGGCAGCCACAGATGTGGTGATGACAAGATCTGACTTGGTCTTTGAGAATTTCATGAAAATGAAAGCTGTGATCCTTCCACTGAAGAATAACTAGCTTCATTTATATATTTAATTTTTTTCCTTTCTCTGTTGCTGTGTGGTTTGGCCTGGTCTGTGATGTGGATGCTGGTTTTAAGAGTTTGAAAAATCTCTTGAAACTAATTTCCCTCTGTCTTGGCTACTACCTCATACTTCTGTGAAGCCTGGATATAGATCACTGTAAAGCAAGTAGATCTGGAAATTATAAAATGGTGTATTCTATAAAATTCCTATCCCATTTCATCATCCTTTTTCATGAATGCTTCCAATAAGAGAGCATTGAAAGAGGTATCCTTAGAATATAGGAGCAGCGAGTACTTATCCCTTTACTTTTTTCACTAAAAATAAGAATCTCATATTCCAGATCTTTGATAATTCCCTGCATTGAGCTATTATTCCAAGTTTCAGTTGATGAAGATTTACCTAGGGAACTGTACATGCTAAAATCAAGTTTGGCTTGTGGTTTTTCAACTGTCAGGATTTTTCTCTTCACATATGTTCAGCCTCCGGAATATACCGTGCTTAACTGGTAAGGGCATCTCATTATCAGCACAGAGTCTTGCTTTTTGAACTTTTGAAAGCAGAGGTAATAAGTAAATGTTTGGAGGTCATGAAAGTGCCCATGTGACTAAGAATACGTACTTTGACTAAATTGTAGGGTTAATGAGAACACCGTTAGTTTTACATTCAGCAGGAGCTTACCTGTCTCTAGTATGAGAGAAGTATGCTTCAGGTTCTAGCAAGAACAGGTGGCCTTGGGCATCTAAGTGACATGATTTTAGGCCTCAGCTGTTCTCCAGAGACAGCCAATAGATAATTCAGATGGTGCATGGATATGGTGTTGAAGGTCCTGCAACAGATTCTCTTCAGGTGTGCAATGAGATATTCTTCTCTCATACTCAGTCTAATGCCTCTCCTCTGAGGTATAAGTAACCTGTATTAAGTTTTGAAGAAATACTTTTGCTCAGATATTTTAAATGGACATTGTATCAACAGGCAGGAAGGAGGACACCTGACTCTGGGTTTTGTGTTGGTTTCTTTGCCTCCTCTACATTTTTGGATTTTGTTAGCAGATAACTTTAACAGACAGCATTTGCACAACAGTAACAGACTTTTTTCAAGGGACTGTTATGTACACAAGGGAACATCCATCAACTACAGTAATAACCACAGCACCATAGACAAGAACAAGAAATGCTAATTTTTAATCCCAACTACACTCCAGGTTTGATTCCTTGCCCAGATCATTCTAATCACCCAGGATCAGAAATGGGTCGTCTTCTCACATACTCTGGTATAGGAGGCCTTTAGGAAACTGAGGGGTGATGCTGCACAGAAGGCTGATAGTCTGGCCAATGGGGTGGGGTTCAACAAGGCCAAGTGCCAGGTCCTGCACTTGGGTCACAACAGCCCCCTGCAGCGCTACAGGCTTGGGGATGAATGGCTGGAGAGCTGCCTGGCAGAAAAGGACCTGGGGGTGTTGGTTGACTGTTGGCTGAACATGAGCCAGCAGTGTGCCCAGGTGGCCAAGAAGGCCAATGGTATCCTGGACTGTATCATGAACAGCGTGGTGAGTAGGACCCGAGAGGTGATCGTCCCCCTGCACTCGGCACTGGTGATGCCTCACCTCAAGTACTGTGTCCAGTTTTGGGCCCCTTACCACAAAAAAGACATTGAGGTGCTGGAGTGGGTCCAGAGAAGGGCAATGAAGCTGGTGAGGGGTTTGGAGAACAAATCATAAGAGGAGCAGCTGAGGGAGCTGGGGTTGTTCAGCCTGGAGAAAAGGAGGCTGAGGGGAGGCCTTATTTCTCTCTACAACTTCTTGAAAGGGGGTTATAGAGAGGCGGGAGTCAGTCTCTTCTCCCAAGAAGGGAGATAGGACAAGAGGAAATGACCTCAAGCTGTGAGGGACCCTAATATCCAATCTAAACCAGGAGATGTTTAGATTGGATATTAGGAAAACATCTAAACCAGGAGATGTTTAGATGGGATATTAGGAAAAATTTTTACACTGAAAGGGTTATTAAGCATGGGAGTGGGCTGCCCAGCGAAGTGGTTGAGTCACCATCCCTGGCGGTATTTGAAAGACAGGTAGGTGTAGTGCTTAGGGCTATGGTTTGGTGACGGTTTTTGTCAGTGTTAGGTTGATGGTTGGACTAGAAGGTCTGGAAGGTTCCTTCCAACCTACACAGCTCTCTGATTCTATCTTTAAGGGTCCCTTCCAACCCAAACCATTCTGGGATTCTGTTTACTGTATTTCTATAGCAGTGCCTGTTTCAGCATTATGGTGTAGACATAAAACAGTCTGGTTTTGTTACCTGTTCCATAAAAGATCTTTCTGTTAACACTATATGCCTGTCATCTTCTTGTATAGGTTTATGCTGTGACAAATAATCAGTTATAAGTGGCAGGGGAGTCTAGTCTTCAGGACAAGTGTCTTCACATTATAAGCCAAAGATCCTCGCAGATCTCATTTCAGATTCCTCTGATGTGATTTGGGAATGCCATATGAACCCATCACCTGTTTCTTCTTTGCTAAAGAGAAATAAAACTTGAAATAGTTGGGCTGGAATTAATCTCCCATAGCCTCATATGTCTGAAAATTAGACTTCTCATCTCCCTCCATAGCAAAAGGATTAAGAAATGAAATACCTTACTCTCTGGTATGAAAATATGTATATCTAAATATGTATTTTAGATAGGCATGTCTACACAACAGTTCATCCTTTCTCCTTCTCCATTGACTGTTGAAGGAATTTAGACAGCTAGCTTACTGCTAGTGACATGAACTGAGATGAATGTGATAACTGTGTTATGTTAATCTAAGACAATATTCAGGACCATACCTTGACTTTTGGTGATATTTCATGAGGAGGACAAATATCCAGAAATACCCTCTCTAGGTTTATCAAAGTGGATCTCAAACTGTGTTTAAGAACACATTATGAGCTGGATAATCTGTGGTAGTTTAAAAGTAGTTTTTGTAGTAGTAAAATGGTAGTTTATTCCATTCAAATTTAGATAACCCCTGCTGCCTGTATAGCGCTTGAGCCTTTACAGGCACCTGTTCTTTGATAAAGACATTCTGAATGTGTCTATGCCTAATTGAAATCTTTGGTGAGTGCCTGAGAGATGCTCCTTTTTCCCACCTTGGAATAATTTGATGCTTGCTGGTTAGTAACAAGAATGGAGTCCATATGGAAGGAAGCAGACAATAGCTGTGCTGCTCTGAAATGTGTTCTCCATATGGATTCCAAATCTCAGGCTCCTTCCCTACCCTTATCCAATCCCCTATTTCCAGCCTGTGTATCAACAAAAGAATGAAGGACAACGCTGTGCATTGTGCTCTCTCCAGTTCAGGGAAAGGGAGGGTATGAATCGTTGTGAGCCAGTGTTTTTAGCAGAATTACTCTGTCTCAGGTACATTGGATTCATACGCTGCGAGGCTGTGGTTTCACGAGCAATTTAAGTCAGTTCAAGTGTAGGCTACTTTTGAAAGAAGTCTGTTTTTCTGCACTTTTCCCTCTGTCAGCACCTGCGTTGGAGGGGCTGCACCAGGAATGAGATCATGTTGATCAATATAACAAGATACAAGAAAAGGAAAAAAAAAAAAAAAAAAATATATATATATATATTGGTTTGCAGTTGGATCAGTTCCTTGCTCCTGTAACTTTTGTAGCCTTGCAGCCTTAGCATAAGCCAGAAGGGAGGAAAGCCAGTACTCCTGTCCTTGTTTAGGTAAGGCTGTCATTCAACAACTGCTTTAAGCTGAATTGTAGAATCCATATGGATGGGACATCTGAAGCTGTTATTGGGAATGAATAAACTTTTTTACTGTGTTTATGAAGAATAACTTTCAAAGTGATTCACTTTGGTCTATGGAATTGACTCATGATTTTTACTATCTGGATGCAAGGGTATATAAAAAAATGCATCTTGGGTATGTAAATACAAATTTTATGAATGAGGAAAGAAACCTTTGTATGTGTCATATATATTTTCAATACAGGTTTATATCAGCTTCCATTAAAAGCAAGGGCAAAAGCATATTCGTTCAAACTTGCTTTCTAAACTCCTCTAATATTTTAGGTATTTATTCTACAAATTATGCATGTAAGCCAGCTTTTGTCTATGATAGTCACAGTGACGTTACTTTTGTTCTTTTTTGATATTTTAGCAATAAACTACAGTTTTTACCATGTCTAATAAGTATACTTTTTACACTAGCATTTCAACATGGTGTGAAAGTGTTTGGAAATGAATATAAAATTATAGCTATTTGGGTATTAGAAATTATTATTTGCATTTAAGAAGATTTTGTTAGGATAGTTTCTTTTTATGTGGAGATTAGTATTGGAAAACAACATGTGTGCATGTTCTGATCTTTGTTTGTATAATAATTATGAGCTATTTTTAGGTACCATCTTAGTTTAAAAACAGGGCAACAATTTTGGGTTTGGCACCGTATCCTGGGGTAGAAAGGTACAAAGGGATGCATGAAATTTCTGTTGTGTAGCAACTTTTTATTTCTTTAACTTCCTCACATCACAAAAAGAGATATTCTTTATCAGATGAGTTTAATAATCTAATCTTCTGACTTTTTTCTCTTTAGGTTGCAGCAATCTATAAAGATTCAAGTATTGGAAATCTTATAAATATAGTTATTGTAAAATTAATTGTAATTCACAATGAACAGGTAGGAAAAATAAATATTAAAAAAAATTTCTTTCTAATAGAAGAAACAAAATACATAAATTTGCATTGTAATTCCAAAGTTTAAAATACTTTAGCTTTAAATACAAAATATTTTCTTTAACTATATTTTTTTTAAGATAGGAGATTAAATGTCAAATGTGAGGTTAAGTGCATTATTTAGTGCCTGTATTTCCCCGTCTCTGAATTAGCACCTCCTGTTGACCTAAATGGGCATAAATCAGATACTGTATGAAAACTTATGACATAACTACCTAAAGTATGGTTATACGCATGGATCATGACAGGGAAATGACAACTTCTATAGAAGGTTTTGATGGAGGGTTTTCAGCCCTAACAGCTGTGGTATTTTAAGATTGGAAGAAGTATATCCTTTTCAAATACATGATTTTATATTTATTTATCATAAATGTCACACTGGTTTCTTAATATTTAACACGTGGTGCATGCTCACATACATTGATTAAAATAATGGATTCTCATGACTGATGACTTGTAGCTAAATTAAGACCTGATCCTGCAAAGAAATCCGTGTGAGTGAGCTTATGTGGAGTCCTGCTGACTTCCTTTCAGTGCACAGTCATTGTTTTGCAGATTAGGGGCATGAATAACAAAGTAATGAGTGCAAGTGCATGAGTATTAAAGCCCTTATTTGATTTTTTTTTTGGCCATTTCTTGCTTAGGAAGGACCTGCTATCACTTTTAATGCAGCTACCACTCTTCGTAATTTTTGCTTATGGCAGCAAGCACAAAACACTTTGGATGATGCTCACCCTTCCCATCATGATACTGCTGTTCTTATCACTAGGTACAGTATCTGAAATAGCCATAATTACTCAGCTAGGTGAGACAAATGCTTCAGTTTCTTTTTTTACATCATCATTTTTTAACCATTCTGATGGTTAAACCACACTGATACTGTTCATAGATAATTGAAGTGAATAAAGACTCTCTTGAACTTCCCAAACCATTGATTATCAATACATGAGCAGTTACTCTGACAGTGCTATGTTGGTAGCAAACCATGTGAGGAACCTTTCATTAAAGACAATCGAAATAGCTTAGACGGGATATTGTTATAAGGAAATGAAGTCATTGTATATACATGTGATGGGGACGGGGTGTTGTACATAATGGATGCAGCTGAAGGATGCAGTGATGATCAGCTCCTGATAGCCCAGGTGTAATTGGAACTACCGAAATCTTACAAATGGAGAACATTTAAATATTAGTATATAGTCTTCCTATACACTGATTGCCTCAGAGAATGTTCTGATGTTCATTCACTGAAATATATTCTCTCTTATGCTGGTTGGTTTTTTTTTCATTATTTTTCCCCCCAGTGTTCACGTTGGACTCACTCCAGCACTTCAAACTGTTTGGTATTTATCCTGAATTTTACCTTATTTTGGCAGATGGTTACCTACATAAGATAGTTTCAAGTATACTGCAATCTGCACATTTTCATCAGCAGCATTTCATGCTTGATCTACTTTCTGCATTGTAGAGAAGTAACATAGTATTTGAATTTTTATTCTTTGCAAGCTAGATGGAAAGCAATGCTGTGAGCTTAGACTGGTGAATTTAAATTACTTCTCTCACTAGAATCCAAATTGTTTGAAAGGACTATAAGATTAAAAATAGCAAATCATATTTGCAATTGCTGTAATTAATATAACAACAGTCAAATTACTTTAAAAATGTTCTTTTATTTGTGTAATAATTTTAAATAAATATTTTCCTTCAAGGGAAGATATCTGCAGAGCTAGAGAGAAGTGTGATACTCTTGGTGAGTTTGGTTTTTTTTAATCAATATGATTTTATAACAGAAAATCTGTAAGAAAATCTCACTAAAGAGAAAAATCAATTGGGAATAAATCAGAAAATAGATGCAAAGTTTAAGTCACAAAGACAAAAAAATTGACTTCTTAATGCTGTTCTGCCCTGGGGTGTACTTCTGGTGCCTGGTGGTTGGGTTTTTTGTGTCAATTCGGTGCATTTGAGGCATGACTTTAAACATGTGTGCCATAGTATTTGTTTATAGAGTCACTCCTTCTACAGGAAAACTCATTCTCTTAAGCTTTTATATAAGGATTCAATTTTGCAGGTTTAGCAGAGCTGGGTACAATGTGTGACCCACTGCGCAGCTGTTCTATAAGCGAAGAAAATGGATTGAGTGCTGCTTTTACCATAGCGCATGAGCTTGGACACGTGTAAGTACCTCTTTCCTACCAGGTAAATCTTTTTTATTTCCTTTTGAATATGACCAATTTGCGGTGATGGGCTCTACCTTTCTAAGAGGGTGCAGTCTGCTACGTCCTTCTAGAAGAGTCTTTATTTTTGCCCCTTGCAGTGAGTCAGCTCTACCCATCACCTAGAGGTAGAGAAATCATGAACTTTATAACCTGGCAGGTTGGTATCCTGAATCATGGGAGATACTGGCCGTACAGCTGTATTTGGTCCATTTGTCATATGAACTGGTTGGGACACTGGGAGAGGTATCTTAGATGTGCCACATAGTCCTGTTAGCTCCAATTGCATTCTAGCCGTGATAGGAGTTTACCTTTAAGAAAAGACTGTTGTTACTGTAATGCAGAAATATTCTTCCTTGTGTTTGATCCTTTCAGAATACAGTAGAGTAAAACAAAGAGAAATACTTTACACAGAAAAATAAGAGGAGATGACAGCATTTTATTTTATGAAGCGTACCTCATCAGAGATGGCAGAAAGGTGCTAAACTCTAGCTCCATGGGGCATGCCACAGTGTAGGTAACGATGGCCTTACAGAGCTCTGTAGCTACCATGTTGATCTTTCATGTGCCTGGAAGTTCCTTTAGATACATGCCATTTGCTGTGGTACTTAAACTGGCATATAAAATAAGACCATGTGCTAGTTGAATAAATATGATGTTGATGCGCTTGGTAGTTTGTTACTGAATAGTAAGACTTATGATGTGAATATTGGGGTAATGTGTTCTGGACAGTCTAGGAGCTGAGCAGATGGGTTGTTCATTTGCAGTGGCATACTCCCAAAACACTGGAGTTTTCCTGGCGAGCTAAAGTACTATGTAATTGTAAAATTCCTATATAATGAGGAGTATTTTGGATAAAGACAGAGTTATATAAGGCATTTTTAAAATATCTATTGCCATAATGTCAGGTAATCATATTAAGTGAGTCCCATTAAATTTCAAAGTGTTTTCAAACTCAAAACTCAAGCATTTGCTGCTACAACGGAGTGTCATTTAATTATTGCTGAATTTGTTTTGGAGTTTGTCTGTTTTGCTTTTTAGATTTAATGTGCCTCATGATGACAGTTTTAAATGTAAAGAAGCTGGAATTAAACATCAGTACCATGTGATGGCTCCAACTTTAAATTACCATACAAGCCCATGGACCTGGTCAAAATGCAGTCAAAAATATATCACTGAATTTCTTGAGTAAGTATCAATATGATGCTATGGTTTTGGTTTGGTTTGTCTGTTGGTTTTTTCAATGTCATGTCTTTGAGACGTATTTTAAAGGTATTGATTAAATACCAATTTTCGGTTGTTCTTAAGTTTAACCACTGACTTGCAGGTCCTCAGTCCTCCAGAAAAAGTACACGTATTTAACTCTGTGGATGATTCATGACTTTGTTAAAGTTGCACTCACCTGTAAAGCTAAGAATACTACTTTTTTTTTTTATATAGTGGTGTTGGTTATTGAAAGTATTTTTCGTATGGTCGTAGTAGGTCAGAATAGACACAGTTTATTTTCAGAAGTTTATATTTAAAAAAAGAGTGGTAGGCAGTAACAGTTTTTTTCCTGTAAGAATGTGAAAATAAGACAACCAGAAAACAAACAAAAAAAAAAACTTTTTTTGGTGGATATCATGCAAAATGCCATAAAGGAAAATCAAGTGACATGGTTTATTTTAATAATTGAATTAATTGAAGTCGTTACATAGGCAAGTAGGCCTGCAAACCCATAACTCCACTGAGATATGCATGTTTAAGTGTTGTGTGAGTAGGGTCCCAATTATTTAAGACCGATTTATTCACATTTTGTTCCCGTTTTTACAACAGCACCGGTTATGGTGAATGTCTCCTAGACAAACCTAGTGGAAGAATATATGATCTTTCCTCTCAGCTGCCTGGGTCAATGTATGACGTCAACAAGCAGTGTGAACTTATGTTTGGTCTTGGCTCGCAAGTGTGCCCATATCTGGTGAGTGAACAACAGAGAGTCATGCACAATCTATACTGAAAAATTACTGAGAGATAGGTTTAGAAATGAATTCTTAGGACTTCTGGTTTTGGAAGAATTTTATCCTGAAATATGTGCAAGTTCTGATTTTATTGAGTTGAAGAGGGTAGAGTTCAGTGGAGAGCATTGCAGCTCCATATGCTAGAAATACATAGAATTAAAAAGTAGGATGAATTCATTCTGATTTCCACATCTGAAAATGTGATTATGATTCCTTTAAAAGATCTAAAGCTGCATAAATTAAGGCAACTACTGAAAGGGAATTATTTCAACACATTCTAAAATTTTTTCATATTATAGCCCCTATCTTACATTAACAGGTCTTTCTCATCTGCTTCTTTTAGTGCTTTTTAAAAAACTTTTTAAAAGTATTAACTTGAAAGTTAATATATTAATTAAAATATTTTTTCTAAATGTTTTGTCCAAAGTATAGATTTTCTCTATTTTGTCAAAGAGTCAAGAAATATTTTCATGCCTGTTAAAGTGTAAATTTTGTATACTTAACCAAAAATTTCTTTAAAGCAAAATAGGGATCTGGAAAGAAAAGTTTAGTAGATTAATATTGAAACTTAAGTTGTATTTTGAAAACTTAATGTATCCAGTGCAATGTAAAATAAATACAAATATAATATTAAGATTTCGTTCATTACTGTTAAGATGTTATGAAGAGTTAGATTTTTGGACCAACTTATCAAATACCTCTACTAGCATTGTGTGGGTTGTTGGAGCTGTTTAAAGGAGACAACTTAAGATCAGATTCAGACAGAATTAAGTGGCACTTTTGGTAAGGTAGAATGTCGTTTAGGAGTCATCAGGCTTTATGGAAATATTGTAGAAAAGTAAAGGGGGATCCAAAGAACTGAAGATGGTGTTACTGAAGACCACCTTGTAAGTTTTATAATCCATAATTTGTCTGTTAAGAATCTTTTAAGAATTTGAAAAGGAGGCTTTCTTCTTAATTTTCTAGCCAGTGTGTTTTTTAAGAATTCCAGTTAGTCTTTGTCTGGGGATTATACTCAAATGGTGCTGCATAGTATCAACCTTAACCTCTTACATTCTTTATTAAATTTTTTACTGAATTAGAAAATAAAGTTATTTATTACTTCTAATGTGATCAGTTTCAAGTATATTCCACACTCCTGCCTGGCCTTAAGCAAAATCCATTTTGTTTTTGTGGGGTTTTATCTGTGAAAAATGGTAGCAAAAATAGCAACCTCTAAGCCCGCATAGTATGAGAAAGCAATACAAATAACCCAACTAATGCCTAAAATGGTGTTACAGGTACAATAAAAGTAATCTTGTTTGCTTTTTTAGAAACAATGCAAACGCTTGTGGTGCACAAGCACTGAAGGTGTTCACAAGGGTTGTCGTACTCAGCACATGCCTTTGGCTGATGGAACAGCTTGTGGTGTGGGAATGGTAAGTCATTTGTTTCTCAGCAATTGCATTTGTATAATTGGTGTAGACGAGAAAGATCAGTGCTTGCTGTGTGGCAATGCTGCACCTGAAACGTGCTGATTGTGTGAACAGTATCCAACTGACTTTACCTACAGTTTCGCTTAGTTCTGTAATGTTATGATATAAATAACATAGGTTGTTCAGAATAATTATAAAAGTTTACAGATGCAACATTGGTTAAAGATAGATGGAAAACCTCAGGGAAAAGTTGCCATCTTTCCTTCTTTTTCTAAAAAGCAGATTGTTTGTAACAAGTTGAGTTTTTTCCTCATCAGCAGTGTTCCAAAGTTGAACTTCCTGGAAACTGGACATCCCAAAAGTTTGTTGCCCCCAGTTTTTTTTGTCGAGGCTGTTTCACTGAACCAGAACGAATTAAGTATGAGTGGTGTGGGTGTAGGAGTACGCTTTTTTTGAAAGAGAAAGTCTTTGGATTAGAATCCTGGTTTTGGTAGGTATTTGCACATTGTATTGGTTTCAGCCAAAATATGAAAGCATGGATCAGTACCTCTTCACTTACTCCAGTAAGTGCCCAAACACGTAACCTCGCACTCAGGTACTGTCTTGCCTATTGTAACATAGTTCAGGATACTTGGATCTGTTCAGTGCTAAAATCCAGCACTTCTGGATTTTAGCAATCCTACTTCTCGCACTCTTATGCATAGGACTCTGCCTGGCTGTACGATGTATGGAATGAATGCTTTGACACTTAAAAAGGAAGAAACAGAAGCTGGACTTGCTATACCCTCCTCAATGGTTTATTTGGTAAAGAGTGTTTGGGTCATGAGAGTGCAGCTCACTTGCTTCCTCATCTGGCAGGTTGTTTTTGGGTGTGGATCTTGAGCTGTGTCCTCTGAGGATATAACCTGTCTTGGGCTGTCCATAAGGGTCATGAATATCTAATTAGTAGATATAGTCAAGGCATTTACAAAACCTTGACAGAAACAGGAGTAGTGGTAGAAGCTACTTGAATCCAGAGTTATCAGTGAAGATATGAGTGTTTTAGTTTTAGATTGTAGTTTGAGAACTAAACAGAAATTAGGTGTTTGAGTTCTTTCCTGATCTAGTCTTTGACTTCTCCATGTCTCAGTTCACCAACAGCAAATAGAAGTATTTTTGTACCTGACAGGGGATTGTGAGAATAAATATTTCAGAGATTTTTGACATGCTCAGATATGACAGCAATTATCTCAAGTAGGGCTGGTTTATTGCGTTGAGCTGCTTTACATAGCAGTATGCTTTGGCAGCTTCAGGGGTTGTGGGAACAGTGTTAATTTTTTACCTTTTGATAGTTTTATAGGTTCAAAGATGATTAAAAAAAAATCTGCTCTTATTTCTACGTATAATAGGCTGCTACATTTCACTCAGTCATTACTAAATTTCCCCCAATAACTTTTACCCTTTACAGATAAATTTTTTTCTTTTTCTGTATTTGGTAAGACAGTAGTAGTGAGGAATTTGAAAATACTGTTCTTAATAGATAACAATTTAATGGGCAAATTGTCTCAAATGGTTTCTTTCCCTCTTGCAAGATTAGGAGAAGTTATTTGAAGGTTATGATGGAAGCTTGGCTTGATTAAATCCTGTGCATGCAGCTGGTGTTACAATCTTTAACCCATTTTTCAGTCGGTCACTGAGCAGAAAGGAAGTTTGTCTTTATATAAACTTCACATGTAGTCTTTAGTTCAATTGACTCTAATTTGCCAACATCAGAGGACTTCTTTTATATATGAATACAAAACCCAATTTTATGCAATTACTGCACTGAAACCAGTTTTCTCTAGGAAGCGAAGAGCTAATTACAGTCATTACCTCTGAAAGATGTAAAAAAGAACAGCAATTAATCTGACAAATTGTCATCTGTTCCTGTGTAAGGGACAGCTCCTTTCAAGCTCAGTCAGCAAGTTTCTGTTAGCGTTAATGGGAATAACACATGGCGGCTAGTGATTGTAATTAATATTTGCTGGCAACCTAAATAAATTTATATTTGGCATTTGCAGCATTATTGCTGTCATGAATGCAGAAAAGATCCGTTTAAGGCATTTGTAAATTTAGTATCAACTTTTTTTGGTAATCTTTAGGGTTTTTTTCAGGTAGTGGGTCTGATTAGTGGATCTTGCTCTACACACTGCTCTAACAGTCTTTGTATCTTTTCTTCCCTAAAATACAAGAAGATGTAAATCTAGTAAAATCAGAGAGTCTCAAGTGAATGAGCAAGCAGCTTTTCCTGAGTGCCTGCACTTCCTAATCTTCTTGCCATATGCAATCTTTCAACATCCATGCATTTTGAAAGAGAACTGTTTTGTATATCTCATGGCTCTCTACACGCCTGTAGAGCTCAGTGCATTCTTAATATATATTAGTAGCATATTCTTAGAACATTCAAGGAAAAATGCAACCTAACATTTTAGTGTCTTACAGAGAATAAAGAAAATATTTCCTTGGGAATTTTAACTTTTCCTGTATTAGTTCTGCAGAGTTAATATTATTATCTAGAATTAATATTACTAAAATAGAAAACTTTCGCTTTTACTTCAATTTCCTGTCTTTTTTATACTGCTTTGAGCAGTATAAAAAGTAGCAGTCTCCGATTCTGAAGTATGTTTGCTGTTCTTTGGTTGTAGGTTACTACCCATCTCTTTTAAAAATCATTACATTGCTTGACTACCTTGTGAATGCAATACATGAAGATAGTTAATCTGAAAGAATAATTAATTATGTATGTATATCTATAGTAAATATAGAAAATTCACAGCTGGGTAATAGTGGGATATGTTAACCATCTGGAAGTAGCATAAGATCTTTTGAACTGTAAAAACAGATTAAAGTATATTTAAGTGCTTAAACCAAAAATTTTTGCTATAAACTAGGATTTTTATAAAGGTAAAAGTTTTATGTGGGAACATTTCAAGGGAAAAATAAAGCATGTAGGTTTTTTTTCAAGAAAAATTGAAAATGTTGAAAAAATAATAAAATATTTTAGGTTTTGTCAATAATTAATGTCATCTGACTAATAAATATAGGTTCGTGTGAGAATCCATCCTACAGAGGTAGAGACCTGAGATGCTATAATTATAGCTTTGTCCTTTTGATTTTCTCCTCATATTTGTCTTCACTGTTCAATCATCTTTGCTTTTAGAATCACCAGCAGCAACCAACAACATCTGTGGAAACGTATTACGAAGGGCTACGAAGGTGATTAGGGGACTAGAACATCTCACTGATGAGGGAAGGCTGAGGGACTTGCGTGTTCTTAGTCTGAAGAAGACTGAGGGGGGATATGATCAATGCTTATAAATACTTAAAGGGTGGGTGTCAAGAGGATGGGGCCAGTCTTTTTTCAGTGGTGCCCAGTGACAGGAAAAGAGGCAAAAGGCACAAACTTGAACGTAGGAAGTTTCAACTGAACATGAGGAGGAACTTTACTTTGAGGGTGGCAGGACACTGGAACAGGCTGCCCAGAGAGGTGGTGGAGTCTCCTTCTCTGGGCACATTCCTGTGCAACCTGGCTCTAAGTGGACCTGCTTTGGCAGGGGGGTTGGACTAAATGATCTACAGAGGTTCCTTCCAACCCCATATCATTCTGTGGTTCTGTGTTAGTGTCTGAAAATAGATGAATAGTTTTTCCTGAGCTTCCTTTTCTGCAAGGCTACACAGGGCTCTAATGCATGATTCTATGTCCTCATACACTGAGCATCAGCATTTCAATCTTTGCCCCAAGATCTTCAAAAACCACGTGTATCTCTTGGAATAGCCTGGAAAAGAAAGGCAGTAACGGTGAGCTTGGAGTCCTTTTCCTGCTGTGAGTCATAGCAGCCTGTGTATGAAGTACTTGATTTCTGAAGAGCTGTAGTCCAGTTCTGGGTGCATCTGTCACTATCCTTGATTCAGTCAAAAATGAGCATAGCCTGGCAATTAGTGCTTTAATAATTCCTTTCAAAATTGCTTTCCTGCAAATTTAGCAAGTTTGATAAGGTATAATTTGGACCTGAAATTGGTTTATCAAATCCTAGTTTAGTCTGTAGGCAAGAGTCAAACCACTTATTATAGGCAGGTGATTAATTTGGGCACCTGTAGGTTCATTGATCCCAAATTTGAACTATTAACCCTCCTTCCACCTCAGCATTGAAAATATAATAATTACATGTGGATTTGGGTCAGAATTTCTGCCTTCTTGACAGAAAACCAACTGTGACCTTGGCTAGAGCAGACTTGCCACTTGCTGTAGTCAGTATGTTTGGAATTACAAGTGATACCCACTTTGCATAATGCATACGTTATATTTTCCATAACAAATGTAGGGGAGAAAAATTGTTAGTGATTACATTTACGTTTATGAAAGTTCTGCATATCATAGTGTTCTCAGTGAAGCAATGATTCAGGCGAGCTCAGAGGAACATCTGGAACGCGTCTGGTGCCGGAGTTTTCTACTGTGACTTCATCATGTTGCTTCTGTAGGAATGCAGCAGAGTAATAGCTGAGACAAGTTTGTTGAATAAGCTATTAAAATCCCAGATGTGAACATGTGCTTTGCATTTTTATGGATCAAAATAATGCTGTTGTGGGTATAAAATTTCATTTTACAACTCTGTCTTTTCCTGAAATCTCCCTTCAAGTTATTGTAAATGTTTTTGTAGATGGAAGAAGAACCTAAACTCTAGGTTGCCGGCCATATTTGGGTGCATGATTCATTTTGGGAATTAGAATTTGGAGGATGTAGATTCCTCAGCCTATAGTAATAAAAATTATTTCCTAAGATGCTAATTACAGGTCTTGGAAAGGCAAGGTCTTAACGTTTCCTCATATTTACCTTCAACTTTTACCTAGTGCAGCCATATCTTTTAGTGCTAGGTACTAGAAAGTTTGGGTACAAAGGTACCCTAAGGGCATCTTGGAAAAAGTAATGCAAACTGTCAGTAAGCACTGCAGTATGAAAAACATGCATATATGCAGTGAAATGATGGTGTATTTGTGGTGTTAAATTAAAGCATTAATCTTACCATCAAGCAAGGGGTGATCTGGCCAGTTTGGTGGATTATTTAGATGATTGTATGACAAGATTGATGTAGCTTTTGTTCTGTGTTTGGACTTGAAAATCACCTTTACTGGTTGTATTATTAGAGGGAGGCATTCAAGGGCTTAAAAGATAAGTCCCATGTGCAAGAGTCAGTGTGATGAAGAATTATACAGGCAAGCAATTTTATTGCTGAGTTGGATTAAGAACTAATGCAGAACTCAGAAAGCAGAATATGATTGTGTAACAAATTCCTATTTTGAGAGCAAAATTATTGTTAGCATATGAGCATAAGGATCAATATAATAAAAGCTTATACTAATTAGGATGAAATTGCTTATAGGAATTACTTCATGCAGCGATAAAACCATTGAACAATGTTTGAGGTTTATGTCATTCAGGTGTATTGAGAAAGATTGCATACATCATTCCTGTGAGTTCAGCAAAATTTCTGTTAATTGATAGTTCCTACAATAAATTTGTAACATCATAATTACTCTTGAGAATTCTATGCAACATTTAAATCTATTTTAAAAAGTGGAATTTCAGGTGGAATCCTGAAATAAATTTATCTTCCATGTGTCAGAGGTTCTTAAATTGTTTTTTATGTGCCAGAGGCTTTAGTTACCAAAGCCCTGCTAGACTTCAGGTAATTCGAAGCTTTTTTGTGTCGCAGAGAGGCAAATGCTAAGCTGTAGAAAGAACAAGGAGTTGAGTTGATATAATCTGTTCTGATGATTCTAGTGACTGATCCATGGATGTACTACAAGGAAGGATGGAATAAGCCACTCCCTGTCAATATGACTAGGAGAATCCCTCCTGACAACATAATGATCAGTCTAATCCTGAGTCTGCAAACAGTCATCTAAAATGAAGAATTCTCTTTGTTGTGTATGAGCACTGACCCCATGTAGTCTACCCTGCCCACTGTCTTGTCTCCAGATGTGGGCAGTCTTTGATGCTTCAGAGGGTCTTTGGAGTCAAGGACAAAGTTGAGGACATGTTATCCACATAGAAGTCAGCAAGAGACATGGTGCTGACATTGTAGTATCTTGTAAGAATTCTATTTTAGCATTTAAACTGCTCCATTGTGTTGTGATCAAATGTAACACTTGGGATTTTGTGAAGCGTACAAGTGAATTAGAATTCCAACTGCCGTAAGTCATCAGTAGGATTAGTGCTGGTAATTCCTGCAGGTTGTTTGGAAAAAGTCACACATACACCAATCATAAAATTCTCATTTAGACTTTTTAGTCATGTACTTTTTGCATAACCGCTGAAGTGGATAAATATTTGCAGAGTCAGGGACTTAGACAGTAAATACTTAGCAGCAAGAGACTGATCTCTTGATTTTTCTGAAAAAAATAGCTAGTAAGTACAGCTTTCTGTAAATAATAACAGTTTACAGATATGGAGTGTTGAAGTCTCATAATTGACATGACTACAACAGAATATTTTTGCAATCTTTCTCTTCTCAATAATGTAAATCCCACCAGATGAAATGAAAATTGCACTTTTATGCAACTTTTATTTGAAAACAGGTGGTTCTTCAGCAGGAATAGAATCTGAAGTAACACAATAGACATTGCAATGTAGTATCTTGCTCTAAGAATTATTGTTTCTTTAAATATTAATTGAGTTTTAATGGTAATAGCAATTTTTTAAACTTAGTAGTAAATATAATATTATTGTAAAATATAGATAAATACAAAATATTTTACAGCTTTTGTTATAGATGTCTGAGTTTAAGCACGAATCTATAGTATCATCTTGCTTTAGCAGAAACAAGGTCTTAAATGCTTGAAAATTTGTGTGCTTTTCCACAAAAATCCCACTAGCTTTTTTCACTTTTGGGATGCTCAAAAAAACCCCTGAATTTCTGGTAGTTTGTTGTCATACCTTTTCCCTTTTTTGTATCAGCATGAACGGAAGAATCTCATACATACAAATGAGAATAAATCTATATTTGAAGTTTGTGCATGAAAACATATCAGGAATTCAAGATCAGGATTCTGAGATTCTTATGTAGGCATTTGAATAAAGTGACAAGACCTAAAGATGTATTCAGCATCCAGTAGCTGCCATAGACAGCAAAGAACTCTAGACAGTATTTCTGAAAATACGACTTCTGGGTAAGATACCTTAAAGAAATTTGAACATTTTAGAAAATGTCAGAGCAGTAAGCTCTTGAATTTTTTTCTTTCTTTGTCTAAAACATGCAGTAACCTTGTGCTTGACTTACAAATTTTATTTTGGTTTTGGACTGTGCAGCATTGCCGCCATGGAATTTGTGTGAGCAGAGAAATGGAGACACGTCCTGTAGATGGAGAATGGGGACCGTGGGGGCCTTATAGCTCATGTTCAAGAACTTGTGGAGGCGGAATCAAGAGCACTACCAGGCTGTGCAATAGACCAGAGTATGTTTTTTATTGTGTTTTACATTAGTACATAATGAAGATATTACGGCACAATGGATTGGTTCAAAACAAAAAGAAGGTATTGTGGGTTGCGCAAATTAGTTCAAAGCACCAATTAAAAAAAATGCTTGTTTCAGCAATGTTTGAAAAAAGAGATGTCTTTAGAACTTCTAGATTACTCTTGTCTCTCAACTATATAATTTATATTTATAGATATTCCTAAAGACTTATTTTGGCAGGGTGTTTTTTTCTATCTCTACGCTAAAAACTGAAGGTTTCTTTAAACATTGTGCTGGTTTTTTTGGAGTAAAAGCTGCAATAAGAAATGGATGTGTATCCCCTGGTAATCTTAAGTGAAGAACACTTTATTTGCTTTGATTTAAGTCTTTTTCACAAAATCACCACCAGCAACACCCAAAAGGAACACTGGTTACAGCAGAGTGATTTACAACTTACCTTTATAATGGGAAACTTCCATTGATGGAATAGTTCAACGTGGGTTTCATTGTCTGTAATAAAAGTCAATGAGAACCTTACCCTTAACTTCTCCAGAAGTTGTATCCTGGGTAGCTTCAGGGTTTTTCTAGGAAGTCATGTCATTTTGATATTATCAGTGGGATAAATGAATTTCAGTCATAAGACCTCATGTTATTTTATTTTCTCTGATGAGTAAGAGCCGTTAGACTAGAATTGCATTTGATACGGCTCGGTCATAACTGATAGTATCAGTATGCCATTGATTTATTCTTTTTTTCCTCCCCAAGAACCTACTAATACTAAATTATTGTGTAGCAGGGTTTATAGAAGTTAGGAAATGTATTTTTGACTTCACAGTATATGGGGTGTTTGCAAAAATTTTCCGTTTTTTTGATCCCCAAACTGAAACCAATATTAGGAATTTAGGAATGAGTGTAATCTCCTAACTCTGTCTTCTTTCTTTGTCACTCTGTAAAATTATAATTTTAAAATTACTGAGGGATGTGCTGTAATCTCAGCTAAATTCATAAAAGAATTAAGGTTAATAATGCTTTTTCCCAGGCAAAATAATTATGACTGTAAGAGAAATAAAAATGTAATAGAAATTAATAAACTTCAGTAGCTTGATTACCAGCTACCTCAGCAGAGTATTTTACATGGACCTTTTACTTTCTTTACTTGGGCATAAATGTATGCACAGTGCAATAGAAGATGTGTGTGGGGGGGAAATTCAGTAACAGGTGTCTTAATGCTGTGTGAGATTTTCACCTTTAGATCAGTGGCTCAAGCCACTTTTCATGGAAACCAGCAATTTTACAAACTGAATGTGTTTTACATTTATCTATTTTTTTAGACCAAGAAATGGAGGAAAGTACTGTGTTGGTCGCAGGATGAAATTTCGATCATGTAATACTGATTCATGTCCAAAAGGCAACAAAGATTTCCGGGAGCAACAGTGCTCTGAATTTGATGGCAAACACTTTAATATCAATGGTCTTACATCTGCTGTTCGCTGGCTTCCAAAATACAGTGGTAGTAAGTAATTTTAAATTTTTTCAATTAATGAAATAAAAATGTTACTTTAATTAAAGTTTTAAAACAGACAAGAAACCTGTTGGATTTTCTTTCCAGTTGCTATGAAAGATCGCTGTAAACTTTTTTGCCGAGTTTCTGGAACAACTTCCTACTATCAGCTGAAGGACAGAGTTGCTGATGGTACTCCCTGTGGAGCAGAAACCAATGACCTTTGTGTTCAAGGCTTATGCAGGGTATTTAAACTTATTAATTATTAAAATTGATTTTAACAAATGGTAAAGCAGATATTTAATATTCATCCAAATAACCATTACTGAAAATATGTAAAGCAAGATGCTTTGAATTTACTTAAGTTAATTTTAATCCCTACCAAATTAAACATCTGGAGATGAAGGCAATTAAGTGAAGAACATACAGTTGAATCTAAAGACCCACAGTCTTTCCTCATTAAAGCCTCATATGTGAGGCAGTTAATATTGTCCAAGTAAACAGAGAGAAACTGATCCAAAATTGACATAAAGGGAGGAAAGAAGGATGCTGTGTGTTTATTGCCATCATATTTCTGCTGTCAAAGAAATAAAAAAAAAAGTAGAAAATCCAAGGGTAGATAGATTATATTTTTATTATTTCATTGCAAAATCAGGAGGAACTGACTCTTGAAAGGGATCATTTCAGCATCCTTTACTTAATAGCAATTACGGAAAGGCCACAAGATTTTGTTGGGAGAAGCAAGGTGCTTTGTTATAACAATTCAAGACTTTTATCAAGCCCAGGTTGTTTTGCTGATTGCAGTGAAACTGAGTAAATTCAGGGTGAGGAGAAAATTTAGCCTTTTTTTATAGTGTTGAATTAAGAGGAAAGAGGAAATGCCAGAGAATTGTCCTGTTTATCATAATTTTTTTTAAAAGGAAGTTTACGTAAAGATACATAAACAACAATTGTGCTTATGGTAGTTTAACCAGCGTAGCCTACATGTATTCCTCTTATTCTTTTACAGTAATGACAAACTTTAAAAGAATTGATGACCAGGTACACATACATACTGCTTTTAGGATTCCAAGACTTTTTAATGTAAATATTACTTAAAATTTGTACACTATGTTGATTTTTTAAATACAGAATCTTTACCTATTATGTATTTTTATACAGTTCTTGACATATTAAGTGTATTTGTACTGTACATTCTTAGTACAATAGTACAATAGCACTATTGTGTTTTGCCCTTACATCACAGCACCCACAACCATAAAAGGCTTTTCATGAATTGCCGAGGAAGATCTGTATCTAATATCTGTATCTAGTAAGAACATTTTCTGGGAGTGGGAAGCTTACATTGTTTGTTTTCATTGTTTTCCATTGAGCTGAGTGACAGAGGGCTATTGTATATTTTTTTTTTGTAGCAAGCAGGCTGTGATCATGTTTTGAATTCCAAGGCAAGGAGAGACAAATGTGGTATCTGTGGTGGTGATAATTCTTCATGTAAGACTCTTGCAGGTACTTTCAACAGTGCTCGTTATGGTATGTTTGTTTTGTTTGATTTTTTGATTATTTTTTTTAATATCTTAATACACATTTTATTATGGCTTAGTAATTATATTTTACATTTGAGGAAGTGGGATTTCAGTGTATGTTCTTTAAGGTCTCTGTCAACAAAAAATATCTCTGATTTTCAATCACATGTGCCCTCTGAAGGATGCAAGGCAAACATGGTAACACATTAACTCATTCAAGGAGAAAAAAATCAATCTGCTCTAAGGTAGAAACAAAAGACACGAATAAAAGATACGATGAGGGTAAAAGTACTTTAAAAGGAAAAATGCTTGTTGCTTTGCACTGTGCATTCTCTCATCTGAAACTATGCAGCTGAAGGACTTATTCCAACATCTCGTTTTGGTTATGTAAAGACATAGCAAGAAGGCTGTGGTGTGAGCAGCTGATGAGGTTCCTTTTTCCCATATAGTGCAAAAGATAGCCTGGGAAATGTGAGCTTTCTCTTTCCAGAGAACATAGGCAGCAACATTCATATTCTTTCCTCTTTGTTGGCATGCAGTGAATGAGAAACTTCTGAATAACCCTGATAACTTCTGTTTCTTTGATTTAGTTTCTCTAATAGAGCTATTGATAGCTTTTCTCTATGAAGTTCTTTCTGGGAAGTATGGGGAGACTATTGTATGTTGTAGCAGTGTAGCTAAGTAGTTAGAGATTATAACGTAAGGACAGAAGTCTTCAAGTTAATATCACATTCCTAAAGGGTCCTTCATGCCACTTCACTGGTTGAAAGAGACCACAGGCGAAGTGAAAATGATACCTGGAGAGCTGCCAAATGGGATCTTCATAGAACAAAGGAATTGGTGGTTGAAGGGGAAAGTATGCCCAGTATCCTGTTGGATTTTTTTTTTTCCTGGCAGAGGGCTTGCACCAAGCAAAAGTACCAAAAAACCTAAGGGTGGGATACAGCTACACTTCCCGTACAAATACACGTAACTTTTCTTGTGTCTGTCCCGAGAAGCTGGAAGAGGGCACGGTCAGCCATTAGAGACTGGATTTTTGAACATGTGATCAAAACAATGAAGAGAAAGAATGTATTCTTATGATGATTCTGAGTAAAGAATGATCAGTTCTATAAAAACTAAAACTGTCAGTGTTAAGTTTTCCACCACTATGAAAGATCTTGCTTATAGGTAGCACGTGAACTCAGTCACAAATAAATTTGATACAAGTGACCATTACGCTGGAACTGCCATTTGTACAAATATGGTTGAGACTATCCCTCTGTGCTGTTAATCAGCTTTGCATTCTCACAGGCTTATTTGCTTCTAACTGAAGTCGGAGGGGAAAAAAACCCAACACCTGCATTTTGGGATGAAGAAAACGTTGATTTATTATTAGGGTTTTATACTTAGTTGAATACTTTAAATTATGTTCAGATTCTTGGAATTACAGCATATAAAAGCTGATACTGAACGATACTACTGGACAGTATGCTAAACATTGGGGATTATCACTCAGGTGTGCTGAAGCAGGAGTGCAGCAATGCAAATTAGAGGTTGTAGCTAGCTGGTCACGAAAACTTCAGTGGTCATGGGAGGCCTATGACATCCCCAGGCTAAGGAGTGAAAAAGTGGTCTGAGGAAATGTTCTTTTCCAAAAAAGTTCTGAGTTAGGATCACAAGATAAGTATGCCAAAGTCTGTGCATTTGATCTTTTTCTTTAACTTCACCTGGTCCCCTTCCATACTGACACGAGTCATTTTACTAAGGCAGAATTTGGAATTCGACAATAGCAGCCCGGTGTACGTGCTTGTATTCATACAGTTTAAATGTTGTCAGTAAGTGTTTAAACAGTAGTGAAACAATCATCTGAAATTCATTACAATGAAACACTAATTTACTTAGCCTCCCAATTTAGGAAATGGCAATCTAATTATGTACCCATAATTATTATGTTGCCTGTTGTTATTGCATCAAATTAGAGTATCTGAGGATTTCCTGGAAAATGGTCAATGTGACCTATTCTTCTGTGTATTCCTTGTCTACGTGCTATGCAGATTTGTTTATAGTTTCCTCCCATATTTTGTCTTCTGTCATTCTGTTTCCACAAAGTCTTCAGCGTGTGAGATGAGGGGGCTTTTTTGAGTGTGCTTTGGTTTTCTTCCCAATATGTTGGAAGACTGACCGAGCGCTGTGTATTTATCCAGAGCATCCAGCGTGTCAATTTGCAATTGCGGTGCTGCCCCCAGCTGGTAAATGTGGTGGACTCGTGATTAAATTAAATGTTCCTTTAAATGCGTGGTATAGTTTTAATAGATTAAAAGCACTGGGAAGTTAATGAATTATGAAATTGAAAAGGATATTGCCATTTAAATTTTTACCCACTGAGGTGAGTCAACGAACCAAAACTTGTTAAATCACGACAAGACTGTTACAAACACAGCACAATAAGTGGAAAACTTAGCAAAGATTACATTAATGCTTCAGACTGCATGTTTGTGTTTATTGTTTCCAGTGTTTGCCCTCTCAGTTTTTCTTAGGCATAAGAACATTTTTGAATTTGTGATTAGCACCTGTGAGAAACAGCTTTTTTTTTTTAAATCTATGCTTATCTGCAGAGCAACTGTTCTTTGGTAACAAATTTGTTTTAGTACAAAGTTAATCCACTTTGCTTTGTTACCTTACAACAAAGCTACTATAATAGTAGTTGGAGGTATTACAGGAAATGATGATTCATTTGGGAAGCATTTGTGTTTTGAAAGGAACACACAAGAGAAGCATTTCAAGTAACAGAATGTGGCTCAAGCACGGCTCGTTCATCCGATTTATCTACCTATGTGTATGGCCTGCAACACTGCAATATTTGAGTAGTTAGGGCTTGTTCTTTAGAGTGCTGTCATGCAATGGTCTCGTGCTACAGAGAAAAGCTAACCTAATAGTATAAACAGGGAGTATTTATACACTCCTTGTGCCCTTGTGGCCAAGAAGGCCAATGGCATCCTGGGGTGCATCAGGAAGATCTCCAGAAGTCCCTTCCAACCCCGTATCATTCTGTGGTTCTGTGAGTGGAGATATTTCATGTTAAGTGACTTATTTAAACTTGTATAAATGTTTTGTGATTAAACTGTGAGGAGCCACAATGTTTCCCAAGTCCTACTTGATGTATTTGACTGTTTTCTAGAATAGTGCTGTTCTCTGGAGATTTTTCTGAGTACATTGAACTCATGTTATTGGTAAAGAATTGAATTCACATTTCTGCACACAGGAATGAATTTTAATGAGTTAACAAATCAAAAGTTCAGTTCAAATTATTAAAAAACAGAGCAGAGAAATTTAATAAGCATCAAGATGTTCACATTTCCTTCCTAAAACATGAGGGCATTCAGCATTGTTTGTCACTAGTACACTGTAGGGTTTTGTGAATAAAACTAGTTAAACGTCTCTTCATATATGCTAGTATTTGACTTTTTTTGTAATTAATTTGTGAATAATTACATTGCAGGTTACAATGTTGTAGTAAATATTCCCAAAGGAGCAACAAACATTGATATTCGTCAGCACAGCTACTCGGGGAAACCTGAAGATGACAACTACCTTGGTAAAAGCCTCCTGTGTATAACACTGATGGATAGTTTTTGTGCTCTTGCCAGAGGTCTGCTCTAAGTGTATATTATGAGAAATCTGATAAAATCTTTAAAGGAAATATCTAATTTCATTGTGTCATCATTTGCCTGAGTCTCTCTGGAGATACTAGTTTTATGAAAAATGAGTGAGATGCTGTTAGGTTTCTAATTCTTCAATGTGCGTGTTCATTTGTCAAATAATAGGAATTATAGTGCATTGCATCATTTTGTCAGTTCTTTTACTTTGTTGTGGCAACATTAATTAAAGCTCGACAAGTTAACTCAGGAATAATGCAGGTATTTGTGGTTTTTAATCTTGGAAGCATACACCTAGTTTATAAACAAAGCAGTCTGACCTTTACTAAACTTGCCAGTTGTCTCTCATTTCTTACTCTATCATGTCTGAGTATAAAGATCACGTTTTGATTAATTTGCAAGTGTGTGAGAGGAGCAAAGAATGCATAAGCACAGTGTAGCAAAAATCTTGGTTGTTCTATAGCATAGCACTTTACATGGCTGAGACAATAGCGGGGCACGTTTTCCTTCTGTCTCTTCTTCCATTGCCATCCTATTCAACAAACTTCAGAGTTTTCAAAATGTTTTCCTTGCCATCTGTTGTTGCACATGTGTCTCAGGCCACAGAACCAGCCTTCCCTGACACTAGCTACCATTTCAAATGTAGTTATGCCTGAATAGCATGCCTTTACTAAAAATTTTACTTTATTTTTAAATTTAATTTCTAGCTTGTTATTCATCTTTATTATTTTAAATTATTAATATAAATACTTAGTAATTTACTTTATTTTTACTTTAAAATATACTTTTAAAAGCCACTTCACTAAGAGTAGCTCTAGCAAATACAAGAATGTGGGCTGTAGAATGGGTCAGAAATACAGATAATTATTGCTTCCGTCTACAGTAGCTGAATTTAACCAAATTTAAAAGTGATGACTGCAGTCAACCCTTCAGCAGAACAAATACCATTAAAGTTATGTTGTTAATGCAGAGAAAAGCCATGACAACTGCTCAGGTGAAAGTTACTCATGGTTAGGATTTAATTCATGCATTAGAAACTGTTTGATGCAACTTCAAAGTATTACACATAGACTAAAATAAAGCTAGGTGTTGATGAGAAGATATATTATTAAGACTTTTTTATTGATAGAACCTTCTAATTAAATACATGCTTTATTCCCAATATTTTATTTTACTTGTAGCTTTATCTGATATTCATGGAAATTTTATCTTGAATGGAAATTTTGTTGTAAGCATGTCAAAAAGAGAAATCAATATTCAAGGAGCCATTTTTGAGTACAGTGGTTCAAACAATACGATAGAGCGAATTAACAGCACTGATAGAATCGAAGAAGAGCTAACCTTACAGGTGCATGTTTACTTTTTTCATAAGTTTGAACATTTGCTACATGATCATTAAGTTCATGAAATGATGTTCAAATTCACTGAAAAACAGTTGTCATTTTATCTCAATTAAGGTTTTGTGTGTAGGGAATTTATACAACCCTGATGTGCGTTATTCATTCAATATCCCAATAGAGGAGAGAAGTGATCTGTTTACATGGGATCCTTATGGACCCTGGCAAGACTGCAGCAGGATGTGTCAAGGTACTGTGAATTCTTTTATCACCAGAAACGATTTTCCTGAATGGTATTTAGGAAGGGACTGGTCTTAAGTACTCAGATTTTCACCCTACTTGTAAGGAAGAAACTCAGCACTCCCAGTAAACTTCAGGTGCACAAAGCCTTTAAGGGCAGAATGGCTTCTGGTTTTCTTTTGCTATTTTCAGTATTTATACAATGCAATTCTATATTCAAAACTACTCTTGTGTTCCTTTCTTTTGTAGCCATAGGAGTGGTTTATTAAAAAAAAAAAAGGTTAAATTGTCTAATGGATCCTTAGAAAGTGGTACTGTATATCTACTATGTATTAGGCTTCTGTTATTGTATTTCCAGATGGTCACTGATTTGTTTAGTATCTGTCATATATATTTATTTGTCTTTTTTGTTTATCTGCTACATGGGGTGAAGCTATCTAAAAGTACTTTTTTACAAATTCTTAACTTATGTGAGACCATTCCAGTGTAAAAATAAGACCACAGTATGTATGAAGTGTATATATAAAGAGTATATACACAGATTTTGGGTCCTGTTGGCCGGTGCTAGAAATGCCTGTAGATATGTGATGGTGAGTTTCTTCAGGTTTTGAGTCAGGCTGTAGAGATGCTCATGTGCTGGAGAAGCAGAGCATCTGTCAACTGTGGTACTTCTCCCAGCACTCCAGATCTTTTAGGTAGCCCGTAAGCAAATTTTCTGCTTCCTCAAAGAAAAGGATCACAACCTCTAAGTTAACGTGGTGGTTTGAAAATTTGGTAATTGGCAAAGGACAGATGTGATGCATTTGGAATACTTAGCCTAACAAGTAAATGAACTGTTGCGCTTTTCCAGTTTTCTGGAAGTTGATATCCTTGTGAGATCACTGTATTACAGCTGGGTGGTGTCAGGGTGACTGGGACAAGGTTGTTCTCTACCTGGAATGTAGTCAGCTGCACAAAGCGGCATGTTTCTACAGAATCTGCTGTATATGAAGATTAGTGTTAATGGGGTATCTCAGTTAAATCCCTTAATGTTGAATGGAATCTGTTAGTGTAAAAAGGCACTCTTATTTTAGCCCTCTATTCACTTTTTTTGATTCATTTTAAAGGCATTCGAAGAAGAAGAATGACATGCATACGAAAAAGTGATCACGTGGTAGTGTCTGATCAAAGATGTGAACATATACCCACTGTACCAGATGTCTTTGAGGAGTGTAATACAGAGTGTGAATTAAGGTAAAATGAGGTTCCTGACTGCTGGAGCTATTATGATCTTATGTTCTGTTGTTGATAGAGATTGAAATAAAATAGTGCAGGTTGCTTTATCCTTTGTCTCTCCACCCCTTTCTACCTCTCTCATCCTTCCTCCCTCTCCCTCCTTTCCTCAAATATATTGGTACAATGGGTTTATACATTAGGTTGACACCTCTTAATCTAAGTAGAACTAGTGTACTTATCTAATTATTATTGGTAAAGTACAAGGTCTTTTGTTAGGATTGTGAATCTATTCTATATAGCCTGCCACAAAAACTTGTATTGCTGGGCAGAACACATATTTCACCAGAACTGTACCCACAACTGGAACTAGTTTGAAACAGATTTGGTTTTTTGCACTCCTAGAAAGGCCAAACTGAAGTGTTCAGAAGATGAATAGCTAGAATTATAGCTTACATTTTTTTAAAGTTACCTAGAAGATTAAGACAAAAGATCCTTTAAATTTAAAATGATGTTTTTAAGCCTATGAATCAAATTCTTTTATATTGCTTTGAAAATTCCAGTCATGAGATATGTTTTACAGTGTTATCTGCTCCATAAAATGCATATCTCTATTTTTATGGCAATTCCTGGTACATTCTCTGGGTGCTTTATTTATCTACAGTTTATCCTTGTAGGTGGCACAATGTTGGCAAAAGCGACTGCACATCCAAGTGTGGCCCAGGGTATCGGTCTATAGAGATCCACTGCATGAAGTACTCTGTTTCAAAAGGACTCAGTGCCCCAGTGGATGATAAGTACTGTGCTCACCAGCAGAAACCACCCACCAGAGAGCCCTGCCACGGTGACTGCATGTTAACAAGCTGGCACTACACAGAGTGGTCAGAGGTACAAATTCACAACCTTGTAATTGTGCCATTGTAGTTCTGGTTAGCATTCAGAACAAATAATTATTTCTATATAATTTTTTTTAAGAGTAATTAACTAAAAGAAAATAATGTTTGACAAATGCAGAGTTGTAGGAGGAGCTAATATCAATCTTTATATTTCAGCGACTTCCTCACACGTTTGTAAGAAACTGTAGCCAAATTTTTTGCAGCTTGGTTTTGGAAGTCAGGAGAGAAGATCTGCCGGTTAAAGGTGTATATTTTATTCACAATCTTAATAATTTAGTTCTGAGAGTATTGTGTAGAAAAGGAATAAGTGTAATATCAGATTTAATCTTTATTAAAGAGTTTTATCTTGGAACTACTAAACAAAGTGCCAAATTTATCTCTCTTGAATATATTACCAGTCCATGGATTAAATGCAGGATACATCTGTGTAACACAATCATTAATATCTTTCCTCTTTAAGACTGATAATTTGTTTTGACCTGGTTTTATCATGTTGTGTTTCATAATGTTGTCTATGCACTGCAGTGTTCCAGGAGCTGTGAAAGAGGTGTCAGAACAAGAGAAGCTTTTTGTATGAACAATTTGCGTCGTCATCTTCCTGACAAAGAATGCCAGCAACTTCCAAGAGTTGTAACACAGAGTTGTAATGAATTCTTATGTCCAAGCTGGTCTGCTAGTGAGTGGAGCGAGGTAATGAACCATGTAAAACTTAAGATGCCTTTGGTCCTGGTCATGGATATTAAAATAAGCTGCTTTAAGTGTTTGATTATTTTGTTCTAGCTGTTTTGGGGCACACGATAATAAATATTCTGAAGTCCTAGGATTTGGCTGATAGAAGTCCCCGATGTACTAATGGCATGAGAACTTCTGAAAAATACACCTAGAATTTATTTTTCTGTGAAATGTTGTTACATTAAAATAAGGTAGTGAAACTACTTAAATTTATCTTCAGTAATGCACATACCTTCCTTTTTTTATTAAGCAATGAGAACCATCCAGCCAACTGAAGAACAGAATTATTTGCATTTTATTATAGATTATATGGATATAAAAGAATTATGGATAGCTTTAACATTTTTCCTTTGAAAGCTGTGATGTGCACACTCATATTTTAAACAAGTAGTCTTTATTCTAATGGAAATAAATGATCTGTACATTGTTCTCATATTTTTGTAGCTTTAGAAGCTTAATAGTGATTCCTTTGTATTAGCATCTGGATCGATGTTTATGGGAAAAAGAGAGTTCATAAAAGAACTAGTTTTGTTGGACTACTTACATTCATGGAATATTTATGTGATCTTTAATATCCAACAGATTACTAAAAGAAAGTGAAGCCATTAATGCAGATTTGTGTCTTTACAAACTGATGACTCATTTTACAGTGTCCTGTGACATGTGGCAAAGGAATGAAGCATCGTCAAGTATGGTGCCAACTTAATGATGAACAACTGAGAGATGATTTCTGTAATCCAAATGATAGACCAGAATCAATAACACCATGTGAACTTCACGAATGTGCATCTTGGCAAGTAGGGCCTTGGGGATCAGTGAGTACATTAGGATTCCTGGCTTCTTCTTGTCTCATTCAAACCATGAGTAATCATAAACCAGTATCTTTTAAACATTTTAATTGGATCTTAAGCAGTAACTTCAGCTGAATTGATTCACGTTTGTTTGCTCCTGTTGGCTGTCTAACCTGTAATTTAGGAACACCCATGTATAAGATAAATGCCTAAAATAGACATTGACCCCAAGCTTTTATATATGAATGTATTACGTGTCCAGAATAATGAAAATAGATAGCAAACTGTTCAGATGAATAAGGCAAATAAAAGACCACAAGTTTAGAGGTGTGTGGGCATATTTAAGTGCTAGCTTTAATTAAGATCATAGAAGTGTATATGCTAAGAATAACAGGCAAAAAGACTTAGTATTTTTTTGTTATGTCTTGTTTTGACCTTCGTACTAAAAGATCTACTATCTCTTTATGTGAAAGTACTACTGAAAAATACATTCCTGCGTGTAATGATGCTCATGTAATGTATACCAGAGTGGCTTCAAAATTCTGGAAAAAAGTGAATTAATTTGCAAAGGAAACTTTTGTCACCAAATAGATGAGAATTAATTAAAAAATAATAAGATACTCAATTTCACAAAGCCCTCATAAGATCAGGGTATTCAAACCAACAGAAGTGTTGGATTATTCAGTGTTTCTTGGATGTTAGAATTCATAACTGAATAGCAGCTAATTATTAATTTTTTAAAATATAATGTTAGTAAAATACAGAATAAATATACCTTGGGAAATTAGGTATATTTTTAACTTTTTGTTTTTATAAAACTTCTCTCATGTCATTGTTTTTCATGTTGGAGATAACCACAGTGTTCTCTAGCATAATGTAGATTTCCTTTTTGAGTAATCTCTATATCACAAGGTGCTGGCTTTCCATTCCTACAAGCTAAATGCAAAATTGAAAAAAAAATATGAATTCAGTCCCATGGTATTATTCTTCTGAATAAAAAAATCGGTGTGTATGGCCTTGTTGGAATAGTTCCTACAAGCAATTTGCCAATCCATGTCACTGGAGCAGAGCTTTCCATTGCAGTGTTTCCATCATACCATCTGATAACAGCTATTCAAGACCTAGGTTTTTAAGCAGTACTTGTGCTTAAACCACAACATTTATAGGATGCGATTTGTCATAATATTTTCAGCCATCAAACATTTTAGGTGCCTTCTTTAAGTGTCCTTCCCAAACTCTGTAGGGAAGGAAAAGACATTTAACAGCAGCAGCTAGTGATTCATTTGGATGCCAGCCCTTATTCCCCCCGCCCCCACTTCCTCTACCCCAGTTTTTATTGCTGAGCATGACATTATATAGCATGGATTGTCCCTTTGATCAGTTCAGGTCAGCTGTCCTGGCTGTTTCCCTCTCAGTCTCCTGCCCACCTCCAGCCTACTCGCTGCAGGGGGTGAAAGGGAGAAAAAGAGAAAGCCTTTATCCTGCACAAGCACTGTTAAGCAATAGCCAAAATACTGGTGTGTTATGGACATTGTTTGAGCACCATATGGTCTGCCATGAAGAAAGTTAACACCATCCAAATAGTCATTCCTATTCATTATAGAAAAAATTCCAAGATAAAAAATGTAATTTCAAATTAAATTTGATATAAATAGTGCTATTTCAAGTGTGTGAAATTACTGACTTTAACAGTGTACTGTAACGTGTGGACGTGGATACCAGATGCGTGCAGTCAAGTGTGTTACTGGGACGTACAGAGTTATTTTGGATGACGACAGGGAATGTAATGCTGCTACTCGTCCTAGAGATAACCAAGTAAGTTAAAAAAAAACTTTCAGTTGATTGTACTTTGTTGTTAATACCATCTAAATACAAGTGTTGCCAACTGACTCTTTAAAGGAATTTGCAAGAAGAACAAATTCTGAAATGAGGAAAAAAATACCAAAAGTATCTGCTTTTTTCCTGAACTTCAAATTTAGTCTACGAAATTCTGTAAAAGAAGAGTAATGTCTATGACCCTTGTCTCTGGCAAGTTTCTCAACACAGTTCTTTCTCAAAATGTAAATATTATTAGGTATTACTAGTAGTGTTTTAACATCAAATAAATTTTCTTTGCCTCTCTATTTAAAAAAAACAAAACAATTTAATGAAAATCCTTTGAGTAATACCAGGGAAAAGTTAGAAGATGGTATTTCCTTGTTAATTAATGCTGGCTTATTGTAATGGTAGGATCTATGTCTGTGAGAGCCATTTGCTTTACCTTTGGCTATTCCAAAATGTGTATTTTGAAAGCTTTCCTTTTCTTACCTCCACAGGAATGTGAATTGCCCCCTTGTCCAGAAAATACAAAATTATGGACTACATCGCTTCCTCTAGTTCATGTGGGGAAGGTGACCCAATGGAGATATGGATCGTGGACCCCAGTATGTAATGTAATAGCGGTCACATCTTGCAGAGCAGTCCTCCATTCCTTCACCCTTTATTCCTTAAAACTATCATTGATATATTTTTCAGACTGAAATCTGCTTGGGATAAATTTTAAAGGAATTCTGTTCATTTTTTTTTTTTAAGAACCTGTTTCTCAAGGAGGAAATAAAATTTGCTGGGAACATCTATGTGCTTCAAATCTAGCCAGGGAAAATAAGGAGGGGAAAAAAACCAGGATACTCGAGCTGGGCTTCTGAGCGAAATAGCTTTCATGTGATTGAGAGTGTGCAAGGAAGTGTGGGTTTTTTTGAAATAATTGATCAGTTTCTGAGTACGGAGAACGTCTTTCATTCTAAAACATTATTCAGATCTTTTAACTGAATAGCAATATTAAACAGTTTGGGTCTTTACAAGTCTAATTTTACATATTTTGTAAAATAAGCATTATAAAAAGTGGTTTAGGCCATGCAATTCAGTTCCAAGCCAATGGGAATTCATAAGGCCTATAGCATCCAGCAGTGTTTCACTTTTCTTCCTGAATGCATGGCTCTATCAGTGTGAGGTGGAAATCTGTCTATCGGTGTTTAAATCTAAAGTTAAGCTGGTACTAAGCTATGTTAGTGTTTTAGATGCTTGCATGATCTTATTTTGGTCTCCTAAAGTGTGATGAGCTTGGATTGTTCTCTGACAGTGTTCTGCATCCTGTGGGAAGGGTGATCGTGCTCGCTATGTGAGTTGTAGAGATGCTCATGGAGGAATAGCAGATGAATCTTTCTGTGCTCATTTACCTCGACCAGCTGAAATTTCAAGCTGCTTTAGCCCGTGTGGAGAGTGGCAAGTTGGAAATTGGTCCCCTGTAAGTATTAATTTCTTTATTTTTTTTTTTTTAATGTGTTTTAGATTATTGGCCAAACTTACTGATTAGAAATTGGGACTTCATATTCTGTGCAAGTGTGATTGAAATTGCATCCCTTGAAAAAGCAAATTGTATGTTTCTTATTGTCAAAAGTAAATATAAATGTCTTTGGATATTAATTATCATTGTTCTGTTACAAATGTTGGGTTAATTTTTGGTCAGTGCACAGTTACGTGTGATAGTGGAATAGTAACAAGACAAGTTATCTGTGTCAACTATCATCAACAAATCAACGAGAATTACTGTGATCCTGAAGGCCGACCTCCCAAAGAACAAGAATGTAACATGCCACCTTGCCCACCGGTTTATCATCATATTCCCAAAACACATGACCATCCAAGCCATCTTCCAGAAATAGGCTACCTTCCAATACACCATCCACAAGACAATATAAACCAGTGGAACCAGCCCTCTGTGGGAGGATATCAATGGAGAACTGGACCCTGGGGAGCAGTAAGAATTATTTTTTTAATATATTAATTTTTTCTCTCACATGTGTGTTAACATGTCTAGAAATATTATTGTGATACAGATTTGGTCAAAAGAGAAGCACATTTATTTTATTGAGAAGAAGAATGTATTAAATTAAAAAATGTAACCTTTTTGCCATTTCAACTTATACGTAGTAGTAATTTTCAAAACTGAAATTTGCAAATAAAAGTTAACATTGAAAAATAATAATTTTAAGTTGTTTTAGCGAACATATTTTACATTTTTCTGATTATGCAATGGTTATTGGTATGTTTACATGTTTTGGCAGTGCTCTAGTACTTGTGCAGGTGGATTTCACCGTCGAGTTGTAGTATGTCAAGATGAGGAAGGAAGAAGTGCTAGTTATTGTGATGAGGCAACAAAACCTCCAGAGTCAAGACACTGTGATTCTGGACCCTGCCCACGGTGGAACTATGGGAACTGGGGAGAAGTAAGATCATTTCACTTTCAAAAGAAAACATTATTCATCACACAAGCCTAGATACAGTAACATAATTATTTGACTGTGAATGGAACTGAACACCAATTTTTAAAATATTTAAAAAGAATTAGTTTCAACCTGTTTAGATAAACCTTGTTCTGTTCTTGTTCTTTACTGTAGTGTAAATATAAGTAGTGTAAATATACATCCAAAAGGGGTAGGTATTGTGTGAGGCCAAGGATGTACCACATATAATTGGGTGTTATCGTAGTGTTTTGAATCTTGAGATATATAAAATTATTTGCTCTTACAAAAAGATGAATTGTATGCAGGAAAACCTTAGTGCCTAAGAAAAAAATGAGCACAAGAAGCTATAAAGAAACTTTATTACATCAAATTTCACAGGTACTGACTAGAATAACTGCAAGTAGTAGTATCTACTGGGCTGTAGTTATTAATTAAAAGTATGAAGACAGGATCATGAATCTAAAAGGTCTGTCTGGGTTGGTATGTTTTGATGTAACATTATACATTCTCATGCAATGTCTTACCTTGACCATGTATTCTTGCTTAGACACTGCAGGAGGAGTAAAGCTGGTTAGTTTGGCATTCATTCTAACTTAACCTCTTGTGATTCCTGCCCTCCCTTCTTATTCTTGATACATCAAGTTGGGAATAGAAGAAAAATTGTTTCAGTGACTTTCATTCTTCTTTCTTGTCCCCCTCATTTTGGCCAGATTTATCCATTTAGTTCTCAAGGGCAGTCTGAGTATCATGTTTTTACTGTCTATAGCTGTAGACTTGGGATCCAGCAGATTCATTATGAAGTACTTTATACTTAGTATGTATAAGTTAGACAGTGAGAAAGTGTGCCCTGTGTCTGAGCTTTCCCCTTTCTGGCAGGGATCAATTTCTGTCCAGTTTTAGGATCAATTTCTGTCTTTTCCTGCTATCAAAGAGAGGTATATATGCACAATGATTCTCGCAAATAGTTATTTCTCCTTGATAGAATAGATTCTCTGTTAATTGAGACTTTTTGTAGAAAAAAATTATAAAAATGTAGTTTGGTAAACATTTTGGTGAGAGAATTGTTTTTCCATTATATGAGATAGGACTGTAAATCCTTATTCTTGAGTTGTCTAGGAAATATGAAGATAGACATAGCAAATAACAACATGTAATGATTGTTACTATTTCTATTTGATTCAATGGTATGTGATGACTCCCTTAACAAAAATATTGCATATAAAATTCTGTATTTCAGTGTACTCAAACTTGTGGAGACGGAATAAAGACAAGACTGGTGATTTGTCAGCTTCCTACTGGCCAAATGTTGGGTGATCAAAACTGTGAAATTCTAGACAAGCCGCCTAACATGGCACAATGTAATGTGCATTCGTGCCCTGGTGATGTTTCATGGCATCGGGGACCGTGGAAATCGGTACGATAGCATTAACTAATATTTTCTGCTTTCTTGTTCTTTCTGTCACTCTATTTCCCATTGCCTTTTAAAAATTATGTGATTATTTTATTTGATAACAGTGAAATAATAATGCATGTGAAATATAGTCTATGTAGTTTTATTAAGCAATGTTCCTGCAGTCATTGAATTAAATGGAGAACAGCCATTTACTTCAGTGGGAACAGTATCATGCTCTGTAAAACATCATAGGGAATATTTTGAAAATTACCACAAATCATCATAGCTGATAGCAATTCCTATTAGGTTGCTCTATTTTGAAGGATTATAATTTGATCTGGTTTTAAATTTAAAGTATATGCTGTAATTTATACTGTAGTATTATCTACATATTTATATTTGTAAAAAGAAAAAAAAAAAAGCTTTTTAACGCATAACTTTTTTTCTAATAGTATATTTAAGTATAAAATAATTCACACACATGTATATTACACTCTGTCATCAAACATTTTACGCCATATTACGTGTACATTTGTGTATAAAAGTTTATATTTGTGGTTTTAAAACAGTGACTAATTAAAACTGTCTATGTATAATTATGTATGTAACTATAATATGTTATTGTCTACATGTCACTGTCTATTAATGTGTAAAAATGCTTAAAATAATCACCATTAATCTTTAAATTTGCCACTAGCAAATTATTAACATACTGAAGTAACCATTGCAAGCTCTACAATATAGAGTATATTTCCCAAGCTGTGAATTTGATCACAATTCTAAGGAGAATAATGGCAATCAAAGGAGGTTGGATCCAGTTCTGGTTCCATCAAAGACAGTTAAAAACTTGCCATTAACATCCCTGGGAGATGGGATAGGGCAACAGTTCAATTTTATTTTTAATTAATAAAATTATGTCATTTGGCTCTTTCAATTAACATGGAAATATTTTTAAAAATATTGTCAAATTTCAACTTTAAATGATGTATTAGTGTTTATATAATCTATTCTAATTTATTGCAAATAGACTTTAAAATGAAAGTTTGAATTAATAATTTACCACAGTTACCTCTTTCTTCCACTGTGCAAAACAGAATTTGGGGTTTGTGTTTAACAGACACCAGAGGATCTTATTTAGCCATTAGCGAAATAATTAGGGTGACTTGTTCATGCTTAATTAATGAATGTACTTCAGGTGCTGTGAAGACAAGTGGAGCATTCAGCACAGAGCTGCCTTTGAACTCAGTATTTGTTTTCCTTCTAGCTGGAAAGTTGTTCACAGCCTGCTCGTTCCCTGAGTGATGCAGTTTGTCCTGCACTAACAGGGTACTCGTAAGCTGTTGTAATGCGTTGAAAATGTTACATATGGCTTAGTTTTCCAAAGATTTTCATGCTGGTTTATATCTCAATTGACACAATCCAGCATTTTCATGTCATGATATCCAATCAAGAAAGACACTGTGATGTTTTACAGGGAGGATGGCTATGAAACTCATCCTTTTGCCTGTAACTTGAATTCATTTGATCTGGAGGTCATTGGGAGATTGACAATGGTCTTTTTAGAATGTAGCTTCCGTCTTCCACACTCTTAGTTTTGTGCAAGTTTCTAAGAGAATTTTCTTGAAGAACTGAATCATGCTCATCTTTTTTTATTTTCTTTTTTGGCAAAACCCAAAGGAAATGGAGTGGGTTTACACCCAGTCAATGTGTCTTGAGGGACTCTGCCTTGTTTTTAAAGAATATTGGTGTCAATTATAAATATAAATGAGGTTGATAAATATTATACAAACATTCCTAAATTCAGGTGTTTCCAAATTTGAAACATTTGATTTCAAGATTTCATTGCCTAATTGGTATGTATCTAAATACATTACCTCTTTTTTGATATACAAAAATTACAATACAGATGTATATATTTTGATATATACTTGTTTATAATGTATTTGTAGGTCAAATAATATTTGAGGTAAATATAGCTGCTTATTTTAATGGAGTTGCAGCACCAGTAAATTTGCCCGGTATATCTTGGATATTTTTCTTTTAGGCTGCTCTGGTTTCATTGTTGAAGGGATTGAGGCAATGATCCAAAACTTCATGAAAGAATGAATAAATTACAAGCTAAAAAGTATGGAAACCATATGTCACATTATATAATGTCAAGAAAAATTCCATAGTGTTCTGACAGCTGGCTAAGAGTACTTTGTTCTAGTATAGATTTTTATTATATCCCTTCTTTCCACAGTACATTATTGGGTTTTTGTGTTTAGTCCATGCAGTAAGATTCCTGGTTTATTGTGTTAATTTTCATCAGAGTGGTTCAGGTTTTCTGACCCTAATGACAAGAAGCCGTATTTTTCTTAAAGCATGAAAAGAGAGCGTATTATGAATTCACAAAGATACCATAAGTTTTTAAGGCTGAACCATAATGACTAGGTTTAACAATTTGTGCTAGAAGAGCGTTAGAGTAATCTATCTTTGAGTTCAAGAATGCTTTTTTGTTACTTTCAATACTAAGCTTTTTTTCTTTTGAATAACATTTCTCATATGAACATGCTTTAGTGTTCTTAGCCAAACAATCATCTGTTACCTGACAAAAAGTTATGTGGGAATATAATCAAATCAGCTGCTAATTGGATCAATGGTTATGTTTAGATACAAGAAATCTTCAGATACATACTGCAGATACAGATACAATCTTGCAAAACTTTCATGTATAGAAGCAATGTAAAGTAGCTATACTAGAAAAAAAAAATTATATTTAGCAGTACTTGTCTGGGAAATAATTTGACACAGAATAGCAAGTTAGGAGCTTTCCAGTGCCAGAGCTCTGGCCTGGTACCTGAGCAAAATGTGTAATTGTACAATCATAGAATATCAGGTTGGAAGGGACCTCAAGCATCACCTGGTCCAACCTTTCTTGGCAAAAGCACCATCTAGACAAGCTACCCCAGCACCCTGTCCAGCTGAATCTTAAAAGTGTCCAATGATGGGGAAACCACCACTTCCCTGGGGAGATTATTCCAGTGGCTGATTGGTCTCATTATGAAAAAAATTCTTCTTGTGTTCAATCGGAATCTCCCCAGGAGTAACTTGTACCCATCACCCCTTGTCTTTTCTACGTGACTCCTTGTAAAAAAGGAAGTCTTGGTCTTCTTTGTAGAATAAATGCCACCCTTTAAATAATGGAATGTGGTGATAAGGTCTCCCCTATGTGATGTGAACGTACATTTCGTTTTACTCTTCCTTCTGCTGTTCAACAGGTGATAACTCTTACTCATCTAGTATGCTTTTCTTAATGGAGGTTTTTTATGGTGCCTTCACTTCAAGGATTGCATTTGGCTTCTAACTGAAGCTTCCCCTTTTATCTCAGTTTTTCTTAAGATTTTGATATTCATCTCTTGGTGAAATGGTCATATCTTCCTTTATAGTCTCTTTTTCTATTCCTCCTAGGTAGTTGCTGCACAATAGAAAAAGTGTAAGTTTCTATACATTCCTGATACATATATGCCTTTACTGTGCTGTGTACTTTTCATATTACATATTTTCTTAAAGGTTTTATGGAGTGTGAGGAGGAATTATTCTGGAGGAGTAAAATAGGCTATTTGTATATGAGAAGACATTACCTTCCAGCTTCACCTAGTGAGAAAAGCTTGTTCGCATTTTTGGATGACAAGGATTTTGATATATGTAGGAGTTTGATTTTAGTTTTGGTCCCCCAATTTTTTGGTTTTCAGTGCTTACCAAAACCCTTGGAGAGCCAGGTAACCAAACAGCAAGGTTCCTGCTTAGGCAGTTTGTGGTAGCAGTTGATGTTACTTTGAAAGCTGTATATTTTGGTAGGGCTTTCACTCTTGTGTGAGTGTGACTAGAAATCTAAATTTTATCAGAGACATTTTAATGACATTATATGTCACAACTTGAAATACATGCTTGCTTCTCATCCTTTCTCATTCCTTTACAAAGAATACATAACCAGATTACTGAATCCAGATTGTAACTGAGTGTTACCTAAAGGTCATTGTAACTGAGTGTTACCTAAAGTAAATTCTCAGTTGGATTTTAAATCTTAAATTTAGAACCAGATAGCTTATTGTGTGCATGTCTGATCTAAGCAGCCACAGCAGAAGCTGCTGGAACTTGAAGGTAACAAGTATTGCCACAAAAGCAAACAGTTCTGCCTTTGCTGTGTACCGTCCTCAAACAATCAGTCTTTTTGAGGTGGTGTAGTTTCCCCATCTGAACAGTTTGACATATAGTCATTGTGCAGCTTTGTTGCTGAGTACTACCAGTTACCGTCCAGAGCACAGCAAAGTTAAGGTCCATCTTGAGGTTTCTATTTGCTGCTAGATTTTCTTGAAAGCGTCTACACCTGGAATGTTATTTGAATACTAATGTAAGAGGTTTTATACTCTCTAGTGTGAGATAATTGTACTGTAGTCATTAGCACTCTGTCTCCTTACATTTGTTTTCTTAGCATGTGGGACTTCATGCTCTTTTATTTCACATTTACATTGTGGGTTGAGATATGATACATCCAGTTATTTTCAAAGTGAAGACTTACAAAGAGTTCATCCTAAAATTTTACCATATACCAGTTGTGAAGTCAGATAATAACTGTAGAATTCTTTTCTTAATTACTTCAAAGTTTTTACAGATAGTTTCTGTAATTAAAGGGACCTTAGATGAAAAGGGGACAGACACTTTCCCAAGAATAATTCTTGTGCAGAGTGTTTGTATGCTGTTCTAGCGCTATTAAAAGAACAAAATACTGATAACAAACTGACATGTCAACTGGACTTTGTTGTTAGTCAAGAAACTGAGTATCACAGACGAGTGTTTCACTAACTCTTCAAATTATATTAAAAAAGAAGTCCCACAAAATTACAGTTTAAGAGTGTTAGTTTTTCTGAGTTCTTTGGAAAGAGTCTAAATCTGATTATGCTGAGGTGCCTTTATGATCAGTGATACAGGCAAGATTTGAGCCTTCAGAAGCTAATTGTATTTTGTTGATCTGAAATGTT